TTTGTTTTACTATTGGCTTACCATATTGCGATGCAATTTTCACATACATGCTTCGATATTTGACAAAATATATCAATATACAAAAATGTTTCAAAGCTCAGTAACTGGAGCACATTGATTGTTTTTAAATCTTAGGTATGATTATCATATTTCAGTTATACGTTAACACTTTCGTTCATGCACTAACAATGTGACAGCCTTATTATTATTTACAGACAAAATTTTGGTTAGTGTCATTATTAAAGCCAAGCATGTTGCTACAAAACTATTTAAAATAATATCTCCAATAACATTAATGTATGAAAGTTGGCTAGTAGTGAAGGAAAATCTTTCTCGAGAGATTAGGCTAAGATTTTAATTAGGTATTACCATCCCCTTTGATAGAATATGAGTATACTTTTATAACACTACAACTATTCCATTTGCCTTCAAATTTATAATCATTTCTAGAATAATACGATAGTTTATAGGTGATTTTTATTTACTAAAATTAATTTTCAGTTAGACATTTTTTTATGCTGGCAATCAGAGTACAGATAGATTTTGGAGGGATGATATAGCAGTCTTGATAAAATCATTCACTATACTAGATACAAATAATTCATGATATCTTTCGTTTGTTCATCTTAAAATAGAAGATGATTCTCTAACTCTGTCGCAATATATTTAGACTTTCTATTGTTACTTTCAATCGTTACATTAAATAAATAACTTTTTTATCGAAAAAACTGAAGAAACCACGATAATCAATCGATTGTTAATATGATAAAGTATGATGAATACTTCATCTGTTCAAGAAAGACGTAAGAAATACTAAAAGATTAATAGTTTTGTATTTGGCGGTACCATCGATAACTAGATAGACCTCCCGGAATTATAATTGTCAGAATGTAACAGCACAGTCAAAATAATAGCTATCAAACATATGGTCCTTATCGATTAAATCATTTGCTGAGTATTAAAGCTCATTTGCCATAAATGGGAAAATAATAAAAGGATACAACACGATTTAATTGATGACTGATGATAACATTATGCCTGTTTATTTCTTGGAATTCAACACTTCTGAGATGATTTTATTTCGTTTCAACTGGAGTTTTTGATGAAAAGTATTACTGCAACTCTTTCATGCCTAAATACCAACTACTAGATACTAACTTCGTAGGTTGTATTAAATGAAAAGTAGTACTGTGTCAGATAGAGAATATCTTGTGTCCGTAAAGTTAGCCATCTTCAGCAATTAGTTTTATTAGCTTCTACAGCCATAATAATCTATCAGATAAAATGATGATGCCAAAAAATAATACCATAGATGTTAAATAGTCATCGAGAAATGACCAAGAATGGATATTAATATTGCCTAATATTTGGCGATTGAGTAAAAGTCAGATCTCTCATTTACGAAGAAAATATACCAATAGCCAAAATGTATTAAGTGAATCCATCTGTTAATCTACTTACATCTGATAGTCATAATTTGACACTAGCATCAATGATGCAAATAGCTATTAAAGTTACAAACATATGAAATAATGCAAACTAGTCATAAGTTCAAAAACAACGCTATGCTCGAATCACTCCTTAATGATGTTATTAATAAATTAATTTTAGGAAATAATATCTACCCAAGAATATCTAACAATAGCCCTCAAGGCTAAATATCATTCAGATACTTTATTTTTTGGATAGAATAAATACGTTCATTCAGATTCAAGGTAAGATACAATCCTGGAATTAGGATAGTGGCAAAACCTATAGAGGGAAAAATTAATGGATCTAAGGACAGTTAGTTTTTTGACCGATAAACTATTCTACAAGATATAGAATAAATGATAAGAATACCCGTACTGAACGATACTGTATGAGCACAATACAGTATACGCTCAAATTGTGGTAAAAAAATGTGAAACCGCAACATAAGCTAACAGAGATCGGTGTAATTTGATCCTATGTTTTCATCGATTTTTCATTACGGCAATGAAGAAAAATCGTCATCAAGAAGTGCTTAAACTATATTTAAAGTCCATAATCCGAGCATTCCTATATGGATGTAACTTACTTAATGTGGACTGATTAAATTCTAAACGACGATAATTAAAGGAAGAAAATTTTAATATATCGCAACCGTAATTATGATCAACACAGCTATCATAGGATTTAAATTGTAATATTATAGCATTCTGTTAGAACACTGATTGTTATCGATAAATATCCTTATCTAGAAAGAAATTGTAAACCTAGATGTTAATAGAGCTAGGCTTGGTATTTAAAAATAGGTTACTGACGTTTCAGAACATCATACTTAAACCTCAGTTTTAAAAATCTGGAAATAACACAAGTTAAAATGGAGGCAATATCAATAATAATTGATCATTCGCCCGAAGTTATGGATTATAGATAACTAGTGCTTCTAATTACCAACATCCAATACAATTTACTGTAGTATACTGTATTTCATAATTGTCTATATATTGTTCCATGGCTAAAGTATAATTAATAACTTCTTTGATAGGCAGATACGCGTATCCTCTTTTGTTGACTATTGCCGTCTGGGCTTATACCCTCCTAATCTCATCGCATTCACCTTTATCTACGCATAAGATATAAGGAAAAGGGTCTTCTTTTAAACTTTAAGTTATAAATGATGTAAAACTTTTGCCTATTATTTTTATCTTGAACTATCATCTGCAGATAATATTTGAATTTATCGAATAAATTCATCTGTAGAGCTCGACACATAAAGCATCTTGTGCTGAATTACACGTATAATAACCCGTTTTAATCAAAATGCCTTTCCTTTCGCTGGCTAAATAATTTACGATTACTGCCATTTTTTCGCTCTTCTAATAAGTTATAATAGAAATTCATGCGTCACACTGGATACAAACTAATTATAGCTATAATCGCCATGAATTAATATCGATTGGCAAATAAGCTCCCCACATACTCATATAGTACATGAAAATATCAGAATTAATTACCATACTTAATTTCCCTGACATTGAACGATGATCTTTATGATACAGAATATAATTATCTTATGTTGTAAAGTGTACGGCACCTCTAATCAATAGAAAGTTCTTCTTGATATTAGTCACATTACCGTATCGATATACGAATTGAAGATGAATATTAACGTTTGCCATAACTGTTGGAAGCTAAGACAATAAAAATGCTGTTTGTTACTATTAAGATATTCTTTTCGATTGATTGTAATAGACAAAATACTAGTTATATGTTTAAACTCGTAGTATCAGTATAGATATTAATGTTTTATTTAGAAGAATTAAGATTAGTTCAGGTACTTATTCAATATTATCAATTAACTATATAGACTAAAGAACATAAGAAAAGTAAAAACATGATATGTTCGGCATAACAGAAAAACAAACTAAAATTAAAGGATAAGGTTAAGAATGTTTAACCGCTGGGCATCTGCGTTAAATCTGTCCTAAATAGCTTAACTATGATAGCATACTAGAAGGAATTATCAAATTTCATGTTAAAAAAATATGACCTTCTATTATAATTTAGTAACCTTACATTTTAATCTAAGCGCCTAAATAATTTAACCATTACGTATTTATCAAGCTAACCTTAATCAAGTTTAAAGATTCTATGAATTGCAATATGAATATCTAGTATTAATTTTTACGCAAAGCTTTGCATATCCACTGTCATCTTATTAAAGAAGTAATCGTTAACTATCACATTGGCAGCCAGTATTATTCGTTTTCTATGAATGGCTATTAAAATCTTAGCCAAAAATAGCGAAATTATCTATTAAGAGTATTTTAGTGATTAATACTACGGAAAGCCATTCTTAATCTATCGTCAAAGAATTATACCGTGCATTGCTTTGGAAATTAATATGATTTTATAAGTATTCTTGTTTACGAATTCGAACTATCATAGCAGAGGCTATATTAGTGGGCAATAAAACAATCTAAAGCAGGTCCATCTACATCCTTGTAGATATTTTTAATCCTTCTATTTTACTTGCCCTCTATTGCCTCTTTCATGTACAGGGGGGTTCTTAAAGATTAAATCTACTAAGAATATCAGTACGTATTTTAGCTTTGATTAATATTTACCATCGGCAGTATGTTAAAAATATTATTATCAAAAATTAAATTTAATTTTAATTCGAGCATTACAGTAGTTCCATCGGTTAAAAATACCGTAAGGTGAGAAATCCTAGTAAAATAGTAAGGATAAGATTAGATGTTAGAATAACATAAGGACTACATAGAGCATTTCTGTACCGTAAGAGTTTATAGATATGGCTTCTGAGTATATTAAGCAAAGGCTCTGAATATTAATCGTATAAGTTTATGATGTTAGATCTAAAAACTATGCAGAATCGGTAATTTAATGACATATTTAATATCATTGTCAGCTACTGGCAATGTACGAAATCATAGCGGTTTTAGTTTCTAGACTTGTAAAGTTTTCCAGGTAAGCGGCTATACTTGAGCAGTATATGGCTATTTCCACTGTTACTTTCACTACAATCCAAGTATTTAATAATAATCATGATACAATATACCTTTCACGAGTACTTTATAATACCGAGTAGTTATTATCATTATATCTAGCACTAATATAATCAAATGGAGACGTAAGTTAACAATCAATGAAAGAACTGGTTATGTTTTATACATTATATATTATTAATTATCAATCTGAAACGCTACCGCGTAGTGGTAAATAAAATTTTACTAAGTAGCTAAGTACGAGCATTTACAAGGAACCAACACTTTATAATTCATAAATTTTTCTTATTCAGCTAAATCAGAATATACTCGTATATATATATATATACATTGATCTTACAATAAAATAGATTTAGAAGCTAAATAAAAACTAGAATATGGGAATTCTAATAAACGGCTAATCTTATATTTCATTTATGTAAAGTAATTTATATTTTTAGAGAAAAGATACCTAATTTATATATTATCTACCTTTTAGTGACAGCATCTATCTATTTAACTACTATGCCTTCTGGACATTATGAAACAGATATTAATTCTTCAACAGTATTTAACTGTACTGTATATAATTGGTCAAGTGAAACAGATAAAGTTATCAAGCTTTATTGGCGTAAGAGCTATCCTCCGAATACAGTGTCGGTAAAAAATCATACCGGAAATAAGCATAGCAACATAACCACACAATTACTTTTCAATCAGATTACTAGTGAAGATGCTGGTGATTACTACTGTACGGCAACGGATAAGAATAATAATATCCGTGCTGAAACGCAATTAGTACAGCTCGTAGTTCGAGGTAAGCTAGTAGGCATAAATAAAGTAAACGTAGCAGTGCATTTTTCATAATACTGGAAAAATTTATAGAGATCTTCGTTATTTCTAAAAAGCTCCTGCTGGTAATCTGACTAAATTAATAAGAATTATTTTGTTACATACGGTATCGCAGATAGATCTCTATGAGTAAATCTCGCTAGTAATATAATGATCCCTTGTAAAAATTATATGATCATTGTTAATGAAATTGAAAGCTAACATAGATTGGATTTAGAGTTTATTATTTCGATGGCACAAATATTTATAGCAATACTAAACAAAAATTTCGATTAGGTCCACCATACATTTACAATTTGGAGGTTAAATTTCTTGGATCGAAAGTTTATATTACGTGGAATATCGTAAATACTTTCTTTGCAATCAGCTATGATATCCGGCGAACTACGTATTTCCCGAAAAGGACATCAAATAGAAGCATCCGTTTCTGTCTACAAAAAGGAACCCTATGTAAGATATCAGCTGTTTTTGATGCTGATCTAATGTTTTGTGTAATAGGCAGTAACTACTACGGAGAAACACGAGTATGCTCGAAAAGACTGAATGCGAGTAAAGAAGGTGAGCGTACATGCCAGTAGCATTTTGGTATTGTTTACTAATTTCATGTTATCAGAGATTGTTCTCTTAATGCGTGAATAAAAATTTGATTGCATGTTATACATTACAATATATAACATACTATAATGCATGTAGTATGCTAAAATTCTATCTGGATAAATGAAAACTCTGAAGCTAAAAATGAATTTATTCATTCCTATAATTACTTTAAAATATACTGTATTAGCCTCATAGCTATTTATTCCCGTTTCTTATTTCACATATAGTACTGATTTCATTTGTACAATGACAAGCAAATATTTCATTAATGCAATGAGGGTACGTTTAGATTGCATTAATTGCTACGTAATTTCTCAAAGAATTCTTTCTTGCTCTTTTATTGTCAATCTATAGCTGTACCCTTATCTCCAGTTATTAATAAAGTTATAACTGATAGTGAATCCCATTCTGTGAACATTGAATGGCATAATCCATACACTGATGCCCTAAATGAAGCTTTAATTGCTGGTTATAGAGTCTGTTATCGAGAAATTTATCCAATAATAGAGCAAGTTCGAGAGGTAAATTGATGTATCTAAAGATCATCTAAAGCGCTTGAAACATGATACAGTACATTATATTTGTAATGGACTCAGTTTTCATTACAATGTTCGGCTTATACAACCTGAATTTGGGAATTAAACAGATATTATTATCTAGGCTATTAACAATAATAACACATGTACTACTACATGACATGAGTAGGACTGCACTATACTTTTTGTGTAATACTAGTATAATCCGTTCACCACGCTATGAAAATTAGATTTCCAATAATATTAGTGTTATACTCAGCACACAGTCGTATCATACTATCATAATTCCTACTATTGGAATAAATAAGAGTCCATAAAGTATCAAACAGCGAAATATTACCAAAAATTTTCGAGAATCACACAGTAGTTAGAAAACTAATAATATTATGAAAGTAAAATAGACCCTAATAAAGAAGCCGTAGAACGAGAATGTGTAATTTTTCTCAGAAATATATATTTTGAGAAAAATTTTCATTTTATCTTCATTAGCGAAAATGTATAGCTGTCAATGAAGTCGAATCTAGATCCATTATATTAACTAAGCAAATGAGATACGGCGCAAATTACGAAGTTAATGTAGCTGCTATTGGTAAGAATGGAAAACAAAGTGCATTATCAAAATCGAAATACGTCTATTTTCCTGAAGCAGGTAAAGTGAGATGTATTGTAAATAATTATTAATTTTATTAATAAAGCCTTAAATTCTATTATATGCTAAACTATGAGCTTTAATTTCATGCAGAACCCGAAGGAAAACCGTTAAAGCTGCATTTTCTTTGTAATCCACAAGATGAATATAATATCTTATACAATTGTCATTTGTCTTGGGAGGTAATCGCCTCTTGCACAGTCCATATTTATAAAATAATCAATCCTATAGCATTAAAAATCTCTATAAAGATTAAATAATGAAATAGTCATCGATGTGATAAATTACTTAATCATATAAGCCTAATAGCAATATTTCAATAATCTTTTTTCTATCAGTTTCCAATTAATCAAACCAATGGCAACTTAACCAGAACATATATTACTATAACTGAAAGAGATACAGACTTCATTACGTCCTATACTTTCAATGATGGATCATTAAGGCAATTTTCTCTCTTTAATATCTCAGTCGAAGAACCTTATCTTGTTCAAATTATAATGGCAAACGCCGTTGGCAATAGCTCTGTAGCAGAGTCGATTCTTACAGTAGAGCCGCCAGATATAGAACCTACTCTTGGTATAACAGATGGGTATTATGGTGCTACAGATTCACAGACAGGTACCGTATTACCATCATAATTGATATTCTGGCTGTTTTTTTAGAGTAAACTAGAAAGTTGTAAGAATACTTNTAAGGCGTAATCTTCCATGCTACTTTAAAGAAATAAAGTAGCGAAGGTGTATGAATATTATTTAGCAGTGATGAACTTCAATCTGTTCCAACGAGCACACGCAACGTAGAGTAATTTATGCACAGTTATGAAATGATAACATTAAACATGGACTTTTGACAAATTTTTGATTATAATTTGTTTAACAAAACATCAAATTTAGAGTTCCACGTTATTTACCATAATATATATATGTCTAAAATGAGTAGTAAGAAGCCTAGAATAATATAGCTTGCTGTTGAAATAATGTTACAAAAGAGTTGCTTTCGCTTTGTCGTTATTTTATAGGAACGCCAGACCAGCAACCAAATATGATAGATATCAATGTTGTCATCGTGGCAGTTGTCCTCGTTTTATCCGTAGTAATATTACTAGTAAGCGTTAAAATCTATCAAGTCATGGAAAGAAAAAACAGGTGAACATAATTTAATGACAAATTATACACACTCTGAAAATGTAGTAGGGTTCGCGAAACTGTCAATTTTTATAACATTTAATCGTCTATATTCTAATCGTGCTATTTTAAACCTTCAATGCAAGCAAATGAAGTCAAATACTACTATAATTATCTCCAATATGACTCTATTGATCAAAGTACCTTACTATTAACAATTATGTTCTGTAGGGTGTGGTATATTAGACTACAGGTACAGTACAGTTAACTACAGTACTATGATACAATACTAGCTCATAAGCGAGGTTTACTACAGCATCGTGTGAAGTAATTACTGTATGATAAGTGGGACCTGTTGCTGTAACGGGCATTCACTGCTAGTTTATTTAATTTTCGGCAAAACATTACAAACATGTATTTACATGCTTTTCAAATAAGTCAAGAATAGCTAAACAAATTAGTACCTAACTATCGTTTTAATACTGAAATGATAATTTTTTGAGGTTTCTACTATGCTATAAAAGTATTTACATAAATAAATGAATACATTCCCTACGATGCTTACGTTTTATGATAGACAGTATCAGTTCTGTACAGCTAATAATTCATTTACTATGCTGTGATCTTTCTAATTTTTTAATACTGATGGCATTACAAATCTGTTAGCAAAATAGTAAAGTAACATTTCGTATTTACTGCATAACAGAATGAAATTATCTAAATACATATTCCTTGGATGTTGTTTCTATAAAAATAAATCGGTAAGTCTAAACTATAAGTAGTGCATTAATACTCCGACTTATGTAAACTAATTTAAGTAGAGGTTAGTTAATACTAAAATACAGTGATATCTATTATGACATAAAAGCACATCATTCTATCGCTCAGACAATACCAGAGCCATTGGTAGATCAAGGATTGCGTCCATTACCCCCAGCACCATGCCAAGCGGAATACTATGAAGATTTTGATTACGATGAATTGAACAATATTGATGACAATAAGCCCGAAAATGAGACTCCAGGTAGTACTTATGAAGTTCTTCCTTCCTTTAAGAACAAGATCGTCATGCCTAGTACGATATCCCTAGATTTAGATAATATGAGTTCAAGAAACAGTCAGAATCATCATCTAGCTCAATTAAAGGGCAAAGATGAAGGTACCTCAACTCTTGGCTATGGACAAGAATTATGCTTACAAATGTCAACAATTAGTGCCTTTGATACATCAACATTTAGTGGTCACTCATCAGAAGATTACCCACAGATTTTTTCTTGTAGATATGATACATATAAAACATATGAAAGTACTGTATAGGGCTACCTAATCACGTATACTTACTGTTTTGTACTATAACAGTATACTTACATCTACTGATTTAACTTCCATGTGAATATGCCGACTCGATAAATTACATTTGCATCTTCTGTATGGCTATGACTAAGACAAGTATTCTTTATCATTTTTCTTGTTCAGTAATAACAGAATAGTTACATGTTTATTATATCTGTCAGTGCATACTCTAGATTAAAATCCATCGGTGATTATAACAGTGACATAAACAATATATGATTTAATATTTATAAACTTTCGACATCGCCGTAATATAAATTTATAAAGAGAATATACTCTATGGTAGTTTAACTTTTCATCCACCAGATTATGTAATCATTTTAAGTTGGGGCAGATTTTATACTTTGTTTAGGTAAAAAGTTTGAAAAAAACTCAAACTCTAGTATTTAAGAACCTTGAAAATTGTACCCAAAGTTATTAAATTGCTCTAAAATTATTAGCTCTAAAATCTACGGTTTTAACTGCTAACTAATAATAAAGTTGATAATACTTGTTTTTAAATTTTAGCGAATAATCTTCAGCATTGCCATTAGATCTACGTGTATTTCTTTACATCATGGTCGGTGTACACATTGAGCAAAAGTAAACGGTAGTGAATAGCAGTTTACCTTTTAAGTTGTATTAATATCGCTTAGAAAATAATTCTTTGATATTTTAAATACTGTAATTTACCTAAAATTTGCTATTTAATATAAGTACATTACATACAGTATATAACAGTAAAATTAACTGAATTAATTTACTAAAAATACATATATATATATATATATTATATTTAATGAATTATATACAACTGTATACTGTTTGCTATGTGTAACAGTGAATTCAAAATACTAGCTAAATCTAGGTTTGATATCAGGATCACACGCGGTGTTGTATATAAGAAGTAGAAGGATATTCTCTAATGAAGAGCAAGTATCATGTTAGAAAGAGAAAGTACAACAGGCTAGTGTGTAACCCTGCGGTAAAGTAACGTCAGAATAACTGAACAACGCAAACTACTACCATAGCCCCAGCAACTGAGAGATGAAGAGAAATCAATAATGTTATACTTTGGGAATCTAATATACATAGAAAGCACTGCTGTAGAACTAAGCATAACAGTATATTTATATTATAATTAATCATTATCGTCTATAATTCTACAAATGATCGCGCAGATATGGCAAGTATATAGAATTAGAAAGACTATAAACTATGTCTCTATACTCGTTTGAGTAGGCTTCAATCGTAGTAAATGGTACATAGTATACTAATTTATTGCAAGCGTGTAAATCGTAGAGGTAAAAGATAGTATACTTAATGTTAAAGAACAGGATATAACGATCTTGAAAGATGCAGCATACCGATATGTCCCTGTATCTTATTTCTAGATTTTAGAGAAATATTCAATATTAAGCAACTACTAGTTAGAATTTCAATTCAATTAAATGTAATGTAAATAATCATGTTTGTGATTATTTTTAGCCGTACTTTATAACACATTTGCAACTCTTAGTCCTAATATAGAAGACGCTTCCAATATAAACGAATAACTTTAATTTTAACCGCTAATAAATTAGTATTAATTTATTTATTTAATAAGAATTCATGTAAATGATGAACTGAGCTTGAAATAGTGTATGTCTTCTACAACATTTTCAATTTGTACGCTATTATTGTTGATAAATACCGTATATATTCGATTAGCCTATTTCTGTCTTCGTCAACCTGTTAGGGACCGAAAATTCTGATATATAAGTATATATAATAATTTAAATATTGCAGTTTCAATACTATAACTGCTAAGATCCTTATCATTGTCAGATGCTTTACTGTAAGTCTCTATTAATATTTTAAAGATGTAACTCGTTGCTACCAAACCAAAATTTGGCTAAGTATATTAGCACAATAAGAAGAGACAACTTCTCCTATTGCTATTACTGCTTTACCGCTACGCCAGTATTAAATCCAGGGACTAATCTAGAGTAAAGTCACTAGGCAACCTACGATCAGGAAGTACGCTACTAGTGAGGGTCCATGGCCAACCTTATTAATAGTACTATGCATAAAGAACTGAGAGAAATTATTAATACATTCATTAATGAAAACGCGCCGTCGTAAATGGATTTTTAATATTATATTAAGAACGGCCGCATGCAGAGTTATAATCTTAGTAAATTATTCAATAATAAATCTAACACATCCAAAGTGTCTCATTCAGATGCTCTTGGAAATCCAGTTTGGCCCTGTAAATTACAGTATTCTTATGAAGAAAGTCTAGACTACGTCTAACGAAGTCGCTAAGAATTTAATAAGATTTCTACTAAGGAAGTTGGGTCTAAAAAATGAAGTTAAATTACGCATATCCTATCATAATCGTCTATGATTGACTCTGGAGCATTAGGCTCTCTCTAAGATATTGCAAAACTTAATATTGCTATTTATAAGTCTAGCAAGTTTTAAATTTAAGATTGGCGTAATATGGAAACTATAATCAACTACAGTTACAGTATGTGATAAAGTGTCTTCTCAAAAGTATAACAACAAGAACTACAGTTTCTTGCAAGGTTCACTTTATCACATAAATCATTTTGTTTTTATTTATCAAGGACTACTTCTACATATCTGGACTATATCACTACAACAAAAGCTCGCGGTTTATTTGTTCTTTGTTACAGAATAAATTTTACACATTACAATCATATCTTGCCAATTTAGTCGCAAGATAACAGTTATCATCGCACGAGCTATTCATTATTCACGCGTCTTAGCAATACAATGCTCACAGCACTAACATAATTAACGCTATCTATTATTATCTCAGAACCTTATTATGAAAATCTCAATAGTATCAAGACAATACGTACGTAAAACTCTTCTACAAATAGATATCTTCAAAATCATACAATCTAACAAACGAGTACTACTACTCTCGTATAGTCTTGCAATCACAATCCAAGCTATATTTGGGGCTGCACTACAGTCTCAAATTTAAATTTGCTAAAATTAAGCAAACCTCTACTGTCACACACGTAGTATTAGGTATTGTCAACATCCTATACCGAAGCTAAAGTAGTCGAAAAGGTCGAAAAGATGTTTCTCTACCATAAAATAATTCAATCGGCGCACTTGCTATCAGGCTAACGACGATTATTCTCGTGTTACAATATTCGTAAACTACTAGTGCAAAAGTCTGAGTTAATTGCCCATTACAGTAAAAAAAAACACCGTTTGAAATTAGATAGTAATTACTTGGTATACGCTATCGCAATTTCTTCTAATGAAACAACTACAGAGCTAAGATGCACCGTTATCATAATTCTTAGTTACAATCTATCGCATCCACACTGCACACGAGTATACCAGACCTAAATACAATATAAGTAATATGATATGATCTAAGCAAAATTTATGCTAGATGAAATTTTATTCACATGGTATAAAATGTTGAAGAAGTCCAAGTACTGTATACTTCAGAGACAAAGTATATAAATTAATTAAGAACGACAACAAGAAGTATGTTACGTTTTCTTACAAGAGTATATAAAGTCTTATAGAATGCGGATGCATATATGTATAAATATAGTGTAAATATATATATAAAATTGATGCATGACCTGTATTATATATATATACTTTTATGCACTTACCCTTTGCCGTTGTTATTGATATCTTAACAAATAAAAATATAAATCACTAATGATTTCTTACACTTGAACTATTCAAAGGCGAGTCTCATAAGATAATAACCATTTATAGTTAATTTTTATCCGTAGTGGCACAACCGTTGATAGCACTAATATTTGACACTAAAACTATAATCAGAGGACAATCAATATAAGAATTCCACGTAAGACATTGCATGCGGACAGTTAATTGCTATCAAATAACTCTAGCTTATACGCGGTAGATTTGCTAAAGTATAATTTTTACAGTCAGTTTTGCCAACTGTATAACTAACAAGCATGATTGTGAAGACAGAGATTTGCGTACCAAGTCTATTAAGTTTATAACTGAAATTGTATTAGTAAAGCTACAAACTACCGTATACTTCTGCAGCAGTATAAATTTTGTGGCTGTATCGCAAATAAATATCTTATTTAAAACAACAAGCAATTAAAATAGTAGATTCATTTTTGAGTTTATATTTCTAAATAGTACAATTAATAATTCCGAAAAATAATTAATATTTGCGGACAATAAAAAAAATTAGCATAGCTTGAAAACTATGTATGCCTATAGATGGATTGCATTCGCATATGAAGTACAAATAAGCGATAAAATTTTTGTTAATTCTAAAGAGGATACTTCGTGGAGTATTGAAATATGCGCAAATCATTTCATGTATTCTACCAATGTTTCATAGCAGAACGTATATTGGTCCTGAAATAAGAATATGATGCGCGACTTTAGCAAAAAAATTGGAAGATCATGGATTACAATATTACCTAAAATATTATTTAGCACTACATAAAATTATAGCAAAAGAAAATTGATGATTCCGATTTTATCAAAGATTGCTGCCTTATCTTTCTACATAGATGAGCATTTGGTAGTCGAATATAATTACAAGATTCGAGAGACTGAGCATGGCAATTATGATGCACAAATAATGCTTCATATATTTCTTTAAAAATCTTTATAATTAAAGAATGCACTATTTTCAATAAGACTCATAGCTGCAACGGTAACAAAAATATATGCACAATATATTGCCAAAATCGCCTTTTATACACTATTATTGCTTCTGAATTAATTCGATAGTATTCAAAAATCGGAATGAACTGCTCCACTTAATCGCTCTTTAGCATTACTTAGTGACTTAAACTGGTGTTAACATACAGTACCCAAAAATAAATCTCTTTCAGCATTTAAGAAATTTGCTATTGAAGGCATTATTTACTGATAATTACAGCCGTTATTATATCATATTATAAGTCCGTAGCTCATAGTAACGTATGCCATCACTCCTCGGTTAGTGAGATTTCATTATGTCAAAAATACCCAGATTTTCAAGCTCATCTTTCGTAGCATATTCGTAAATATTATCATCTATTAATTTGCTCATGCAGTGCTTTCGCGTATCTTTACAGTAATACCAAATAAGTGTTATATTACCTGTGTTTGCATAATGCCTGGTCTTTGGCTCCTCAATTTATTTACTATTTGAAAAATATCTACTTCTTTTTCTGTTTTAAGTTTGTCTAGTGATATTGCGAGTGTGATGAACATTCCAGCGGGGCCAGTTCCAGTTCTAAAGAAAGGAATAGTTTCAACTGGTTGTTTACTAAACTCATTTGCAATCAATGTCAGTACCTGGAAATGACAGTCATGGCTTTATTTCGGTTCGGAGGTTGTATTTTTTCAGCCTGATCTATTAAATCTACAATATCTTGACTGTGCTGTGATAGAGCTTCATTCTTCCAATTTAGGTAGTGAAGATGGCGGACAATTTTCGAAGCTGACTCCTTCAATACAATAAAATACTTAGATAAGCGAAAAGCACTTTTACTAATATGATTGCCATAATATATGGTATGTTAATATTAAAACATTATCAAGAACCTGTTTATGAAATAATTTTAGATCAGTTGACACGTAAGATTCATTTTTACGTTGTTTTAACGCTTCTACAGATATTTCTTCAAATATCTTCTTCTTTTTGACGCTGGGTAAGTACTTAGCATACTGAAATTAAATTAATGGATAAAATCTTAGAACTAAAAATTAAAATGCTTGGTGAAACAGAAACAATCCAGCTGATAAGGAGCTAGTTGCAAACCAGTTCGTGATCACTTTCTGTAGTTAATGCTACAATTACACGACATTGTTGTTCCCAGATCATTCTCCAAAAGTCTCCTATAGTGCTGTCTAAGGGGATTTGTGTCACAATGTACGCCTTCGTTCGACGATATCCCTGTATAAACAAAATGTTAATTACATAAATCTCAAGACAATTTCATTCTCTCTTTTATGCACCTCGATGATCACCATTAAATAAAAATGTTTTCCGACTCCTTACACACCATGTTTAATCTACTTACATCAACATAACCAGCGTTAATATAGTCAGATCCATCAATTCCAGGTACCATTGATAAGCGAACACGGTATTCGTCATCTAACACATAGCAGTCATAGCATTCTCATATAATAAAGCTCAATAAATTGGTAAAAAATATCGCAATAAATGAGCTTTCTACTAGTCGCAAATTACCCGGAAATATAGATTTATCTCGGTTCTTATTTACGTTATATGATTTCTTTCCCTCACAAATTTTTCGATCATATGAAATATTTCGAAGATTCTATTGATAATGAGAAGGATCTTCACATTCTGCATGACTACATATTCAGATATATCATACTTCATATATAATAATTGTATATTTACCGAATATTCAGCTTCTAGCAGTGTTTTATCACCATTCGGTTGCTGCATTTTCAAATTGCGATAGTATTCAGAAAAATTATGTGCCGCAACTGATGTATTTCCGCATCTTACAGCCTCGACCAAAGCATCATGTATGAATATATATTGCGTCTAAATATTGAATAAAGAAGAAATAGCTTAAGGGTGAGCAAAAGGACCTTCTCCAATCAGCAAATAATACCTCGGTTTGAACCATATAGTTTCTATTTTTTCTCATATTCACAACAAATCCCATAACATCAACAGTCTTATCTTTTCTTAATCTTTTCAACATAGCATCTAGTGTAATGTAGGTTCCTGTTCTTCCTACACCAGCACTTCACAAACAAGAAAGAAGCCAATAATAAGATTAAATTTTAATCCAATTTATCAATTACATATTTTTTCAATCGTTACGTTATCAGGCTAACCTGCAGTGAACAAGCATTGGTCCTGTCTTGTTATTACTATGAAAAATGCTAGACTTCCTTACGAAACTAAGGATTGAAGTAGAATGCTTTGGCACACCATGGTCAGGCCAAGACGTATAATGGAATTGAGTAGTTTCATGACTCTTCTCATTCCCTTCCTGTTAAAGAATGTAAAAAATTTACAGAATGATTTCACCTGAACATTTAAGCTTAAAAGTGTTAGATCTCGTAATCAATAACTAGTTATCCTTACTTTGCATAATTCAAACCGCCTTACAGTATAATCTGCTAAATTAAAGGATTCAACAATTTTAACTGTAATTGATTTAAATCTTTCTTCATTTTCCGTCGGCCAGTATTGAAGGCACTTTTCCTGCGGACAAGACAAATTAGAGATTTACAATTTAATAAATTGATGTAATGTCATCCACTTGCATGTACGTTATTACATCCTTACTCTTCGATTCTCTACGACATTGGTTAACATCACTATGGTAGATATCTCTTTCTCCCACACCAAGCGCCAAAAGTCAGCAACTGTAGCTTTCGTAGGTCCTAAAAGCATTGCATGCAGGTTTTTAAAATTACGCTTAAACATTACATTAAGATATAACTGCATTGAATCAAACCCTCATTCATAAACACATCTAGTTTACCTTGAGTTGCAATATAAGCTGCAGTCTCGCCAAAACCCTAGTTAGTAAATTAGATTAATAAATAAAAAGAACAGTTAAACTATTTTTTAAGTATAGACTCCTGCAGAAGAATAAGATTTCATACATCAATATAATTGGCATGAATATAATCCGACCCTTCTTCACCATCCACAGGCGCAAGTCTAACTCGCGAGTGATCATCTGTAATAATATTAAGTCGCTATAACGGAATGAAAAAGAATATTGCAGGTATTCCAATTATACGGTTACATACAGCATGTAATATTGGCATAGCGATTTTTCTTAATGTTGAAAGGATGTCGCCCGCAATTTGATTCATGCTTGTTATTTATTTGTTGAATGGTCTAAAAAAATTTACGATCAGAACTTAATACCAAAAGCAAAAAAATTGGCTGTATAAATGGTTAGAATGAAAATAAAGTATTTAAATCAACAGTTAATATTCAGTACACGTTTTTAATCGGTAATTAATTATAATTAATTAAATGATCTTACACTGTACTGTTGAGAGAATCCAATATCTCCATCCTTATGCAAATTGGATACATGTAGTGAGAATTCCGAGGCACTTATTGGCTTACCTGTAATAAAATATAAAAGGGCATTTCATATTTGTATTTGAAACGGTTTTCACTTTAACTTACAGCGTATCAATATTAACTCTTGACTACAACCATGATACCTGATCTTTCGGTAATATCTTGCATATGGTTATTCACATGGCTATCAGTCAACTGTGTCAGTAGTAACGAATTATTGCTCTTGCTATCTTTGTGGAGTGGTTGGTAATATTTCCTATATCGTATTATTTACGTTACAGCCATCAACTTTGTTAATTTAAGCATGGCAAACTCCACAATAGTTTGTGTCGCTTAATAGATTACTATATATGCATGCTATCGAGCACTCTAGGAGAGCCAAAAAATCCTTGATAAACTAACCTCCAATAGATAAAACCTCCAGTCGCAATACCAAGAATGATTATCGAAACAACGATAGCAATGGCTATAGTTATGCTTGGATTAAAAGCTAAACAAATCAGAAATATATAGTCACTTGAGAAGGTTACATTAGTTTCGAATATATTTTAACTTATACATACATACATACATACATACACTAACGCTAAATGGTACATACCAGTTTCGATAGTAACGGAAATTTGGCTGAAAGAGTAGGTGATCTATACATGAATTAAGCAAATATGTGAATGTAAGCAGTTACGATTATTAGATATTACAAATAATGCCCACCATATACCAATGTAGTACGAAACTGTACTGTATGTTGAAGTTTTTAATGCAGGCATTTACCTGTGTAGGATCGGTACAATCAAGAATGGCACGAGTAAAGAATAAGTAATATGAACTTGGAGATAGCGAAGGGTTTTTATAATCGTAGTTGTCGCATGACGTAGCTCTTTTCCTCCTGCTTTGGCTGCTAGTTACATTTCCACTACACTTTTCTGACCTACTTCCAATGATAAACGCCTTTCTTTTACTATAGTCACTAGCAAGGAACTGGCATGTTATATAAGGAACGTTTAAATCTGGCTGCCTGCTATCATTAAACGGTCTGATTCGCTCTGATAACTGAATTGGTGAAAGATCAAGCTCAGCATTTTTCGCTACTCGAACCACAATCACTTGATAATACCTATAACACAAAATTCGTTTTGGAAAAGAAAAGTTAACCATCAAAAACAGCATAGCATGTGTCCGCTAATCGGATACATGTACACGATAAGGTATATCTTTATTATTTACAGGGCAGTACGTATCCCAAATTTTGGCATACTAACAGTGCATTATTAGTTCCAGCAGCTTGATTGGGTGGCTGGATATTTATCACAACGTTATCAGAACCAGTTTGATTTACTGTCGGAGAAGAACCTGGCGATATAACTACAATAAAAAGTTTCAATAGTTACGATATTAACGATGTTACACGACTGATAACCTATAGTCTAATATAGAATGACCATACCGTAGCGGTTTGTTTTTATAAATACAGCTTGCGAAAATGGTCCATTTCCTCTCGAAGTCGCAGCACGTACACTTATTCCATACAGCGTATTTGGTGACAAATTAATCAATGTTTCGTTAGTTCTATTGCTGACGTAAGTGTCAACACCAATGATTTCATTAGCAGTGTTGGTTTGCCTTATTACGTATCTTGCTATTACACCGTTTGGCTTTGCAGGTGGTTTCCATGATACAAATATTTTTGTCTGATTAATTGCCATCACCGTCACATTCTGTGGAGAATCATCAGGAGCTACAAAATTTTAAGAATATTTAAGATTATTTAAGTCATTAATATAAATACAAGTCTTTCACGTTCTTTAATAAATTATGTAAAGATATCAGAATAATAATTCATTAATTGTTTACCAGCTATTTGTGTTCGAATAGTAATATTCATCGGTGATTTAGAACTGGGCAATAATTTTTCTCGATTATACGACTGAACGGAAATATGATAAAAAGTATATTTTTCTAGATTTTCCAATTTAGCATAGGTATCGTTGGTATATATTACAGTATCGAGCGATGCACGACTGGTTCTATAAGAAATAGTGTAATTAACTAAGCCATTTGGACGCAACGGGGATTGCCATTCTATATCTATTTCTGTAGATGTTGTCCGTGCAACTTCTAAAGAGCGAACCTCGGACGGAACTACATAATAGATAAAAAATTTTCAGGCTATTGAATACATTTTTACGATTCATTAATACAGTAATTTACCCGTAGAGTCTGTTCTAATCATGATCATAGCCGTGCTACCATATCCCTTGGAAGTAGAAGGAGTCAACGAAACGTTGTAATACTGAAATGCAACTGAAAGATTCAAGCAACTTTTAATATGGAGCCGAGCCGAAAGTTTAATGATAAGTTTGATATAATTCCTAGATACTTTGTTTATTTTACACTTTATGAAATACCTAAATCATTAATAGAATAGAAACAGCAATCGACAGTAACAGTTCGGATCAAGCTCGCATTTCTAGTCGGGAAATATTCTAGTACATAGTCTATAATAATTCCATTAGGCATTGCAGGTGCAAACCAATTAACTTGCAATCCAACAGGAGAACGGTCAGTTACTGGAATTTGTGGAGGAATTATTGTTGCATTCAACACAGCGACGGATCCTGGAGCTATTAAAAAACAAGAAAATATAGTGAACTTTAGTAAGAAAACACCTAACTGCTAACGCTACGACTCAGCAGAATAGAAATAGCTTCACAAATCCTACTCAATTCATCCGTGTAAATGTATATGAGGCTACTGAAAGGACCAATATCAACAGTATAAGCAGCGACTTGGACTGCATATTTTGTAAAGACTGAGAGTTGAGCAACTTCAATTTGGTTTAGAGTTGTTTCTCTGGTAAAATTATTCACTTTCACAACATATTTCGTGATGATTCCGTTAATACTAATTGCTACTGGGGGAGACCACATTATCAAAATACTTGTGGCACTCGTGTTTGTTCCCTGAACACCTCTTGGAGCTGCGTCCGGAGCTGCAAGAATGAAAAGTAGGTTTAAAGAAAATAAGTTTTTAAGTCTCCTAACGCACTCCACTATATAAATCAGTAACTGATTCTAGATTTTAATCAGCAAAATTGAGAATTAATACGATTCAAATATACCAGACTGGTTCGTTGTAGCATGTGCTTGAACATTAGCCGGCCCAACTCCGACAGAAGTATACGCTGCGATACCGAATGAGTAGTTTGTAAACGGATGTAATGCTTTCACAACGAAAACAAAGCTACTCTCATTTAGAGATAAATCATTGCTAGTTAAGTTTACGTTTTTATTTATCATATTCCACGGATCATAGTAAGATATAACATATCCTCTGACTATCCCATTTCTGTACTGTACGGCAAGTTTCTGAAAAATTACAAGCCTTATTTAATAAGATAATTACATCATCAAAGTCATTATTATTATCATTTCTGTTACGCTCATTTCTACGACAGATATCAGATTCTATTACATACATTCCAAGTAATAGTAATGCGACGATCTGTAATACCAATGATTGACGGAACGGGTCCTTGACTTGGTGCTGAAATTGTAATATAACAGACTATAAGAATAGGTTGGATTTAATTTCAAGTTCATCCATTAATTTGATTTCTTACCATCTTCTTTCGTTATAACTGTGATAGGAGCAGAAGTCGTTCCGTTGCCATCTCTCACCAAGAAATCATTAATGGCGTAAGCTACTATTCGATATTCGGAAAATTTCCGTAAGCCACTAATAATAAGTGAAGTCGTTGCATTGTTAAGAGTAGTTTCGACCTTGCTTTCATTGCGCCCAACAAGTTTGTACTCGACATTGTATCTACTAATTATTCCATTAAGTTCTTCCGGTAAAGGTGGCAGCCAATTGATATTAATAGAAGTTGAAGATAGTGGTATGGCCGTAACATTACGCAAGGGCCCAGGAGCAGCTAAGTATAAAAAGAAAGATTTATTGCTGAGATAACAAACACTAATTCTGCTGAAATGTGAAGTATTATTACGCAATCTTACCTTGCAAAGTACGATTTGTTGCAAGATTACTCTGGTTACTTAGTAACGAGTATTTCTTATTTAAAGCTTTTACAAAAAATGAGTAGTAATGGTAGGGCTTCAAGCCACGCACGAAAAAAAATAATGATTCAGTTGATCCGATAATATATGGAGGTTGTGAGACTTGAGAACCATAGACGTTATATTTAATTATTCCATTCGGCTCTAATGGTGCCCTCCAACTTAAACGTATTTGAGTTGTCGATACTGTAGTCGCAGTCAAGTCTTGAGGGTTCTTTGGAACTAAAATTTAACAATTTAGAAATAAGTAAACTTTCCAGTACGGCAATTGACGCTTCGTATGAACCTACCAGATTCATCGGTCTGGGTATAAACGTTTATACTACAAGGTCCTACAGCTATTGTAACAGCACAGATAGAAATAGAATAGTTTGTCCAAATCTGTAAGCCTTGCAGAAGATAATTTGTAATATTTCCGGCTACGGCAGTTTGCTGAATTGTTGATGAAGTGGCGAAAGGTTCATAATAAATTATGAAACGGTCGATAATTCCATTCCTATCATCAGCGACCGGTAACTGCCAGGTGATGTTTAAAGATGTTGACCTTGCTACCAAATTTGCATTTACATTAATGGGTGGACCTGTAGGAACTGGTTCAATTATAAATCAAATTTAATACTAGATTAGTAAAACTATTCCCGATTATTGTGTTGTCTAGCCGCAAATATAAAATAGAATTTTCTTCTGTTTGTTCATTTACCTCCTTCCGTCGTCTTTACAGACTTAGTAAATCCAATCGCTGCTGGGCCTTTCTTATTAAATACTTGCAATGCAATATCATATGTAGAAAATGGTTTCAGATTTGTAATGACGTAGCTTCTCTCCCCAATAGAAACACTAGCATCAGCAGCAGATATGGTGACATTTTGAAATATTTCAAAATCTGTATTGTTTAGGATGATATGAAAGCCAATGATAATTCCATGTCTTTCAGATAATGCTAAAGCCTAGAAAGGAAACAAAATTTTATGCCTACTGGCTAACGTCAACCTTAATCTCGTATCTGAAATGTTGCATGCTTACCGGCCAGTGCAATGTAACCGTGGTATTTTGAATATTAGAAATACTTGTTATATTCGGACTAAAAGCCGGAACTATAAATGTAACGTACGAAATATTAAATAGTTAGTAACGTACTCCAAGTACGATTGCGTGCGAGATCGCAATAGTATATTTGCTCAGTTCCTTGAAATTTGAAGGTCAAAATAATAAAGAAACTTACTGGCTTCATCCGTCCTATTATATATAATTTCACTCCATGGTCCGGAACCAACTACTGTATTAGCTCTTACTTCTATGCCATAAACAGTAAAAATTGATAAACCGGAAAGGGTATAATTTGTAAAATAAGATTCCTTAATAGGATTTAACGAGCTGATATTGTAGCGAATCTGGTAAGATGTAATAATCCCATTTTGATCTTTTTGCAATGGAGCGTTCCAACGTATTCCTAAACTCGTATCGCTAAGCACAGTAATAGAAACATTCATTGGTGGCGCTGAAGGAACTATAGAACAAAACAAATGTTAAAATAATCACAAATGAAAACAAAGTGTCTCCAACATAAACCATTATACCGTCTTGTAGAGTTCTTCCAACAACGCTCTCGCTAGGCGGTCCAAGTAGATCATATTTAAAGTTATAAACGACGACAGTAATGTTGTAGTCCGTATACTCTTGAAGACCAACTATGCTGCAATGCAGTTGCTCTACATTACATGCAAGTATGCTGCCAATTGTATCAACAGCATTTGAGTACACAAGAAATTTAACCCTTCCATTTGGGATAGTGGGCGGTAACCAGGACACCATTAAAGTGGTAGAATTGACGGCAGTTATGTTCAAATCCCGTACGGGTGACGCCGGTACTGTAACACATTAGAACATTTAAAAGTGAGAAATTTAATAAAATATGGATTTAAATACAGTCTACATTTCATAAAATGCATCATACCATCCTCATCAGTCATGACAGAGAGAATTGCACTAAAAGGTCCTCTCCCAATAACTGTGGAACAGGAGATCGCAATTCTGTATTCGCTCCATTTTTTAAGATTCTCTAAAAGGGCATAATTTCTAGTTCCAACGACTTCCTTCTGCACGGTTACATTTGTTTGGATATTCATGTATCGAATCGAATACAAAAGGATGATACCATTTTCATCAAAAATTGAGGGTGGATCCCAATTAAGATAAATGGTAGTTGACGAATTTCCAAAACCAGTAACATTCCTTGGTGGAGCACTTGGAGCTGCATAGGTGAAAAAAATTAAAGTATATAATAACTATCATTAGCATATGATAAATAGCGGTGAATCTCAGTAAGATCATTCATTGCGTTATGCTTAAAGGTAATATTTGTAACGCTAGACTCTCGGACTACCTAAATAACTTCTCTCAAATAATGGTATTGAAACAAAGTATTACAATTACTCATCAATTTTCTCAAGCAATATTCTATTATTATTTGCCGTAGGTGTAACACCTGAAACCCACTAACCGTCTTGATCAGTTTGCCTTTTAATCGATTTAGTACTTGGACCTTCTAAGTTGTATTTTTTATTATATACGACTATCCGATAAGTATAATTAAAGTAAGCATGCAGATTACGGGCAACATAAGATGTATCAGGCCCTTGATAGACTATTTCTTGAGGACTATTCAAATAATCGAGCTGTTGATAAATTGAATATTCAACGATGCCATTAGGTACAATGGGCACTGTCCAGTTTAAAAAGATAGCCGTAGAATTGATAGTAAACGCATTAAAATCGTTCGCTGGGCTCTCAGGCGCTAATTTAGAGATCACATATAAATGTAGTCAATAATAGAATAAATGAAGCATCGAACAACTTAGGTTAAATAAATGGAGACTTTGATTTACCATCTTCATCCGTTTTTACACTCACTAAAGAGCTATACGGGCCAAAACCAACAGCTGTAGCAGCACTTATTGTGACGTTGTAAGCGGTAAACTTGTCTAAACCAACCAGTATTATATTTCTCTTGTTTCCGTTAACTACAATGGTAGAATAAACTTCGCTATTGTTAGCTTTGAAATAGATTAATCTATACTGGGTAATGTGTCCATTTTGATGCAAAATCGGTGGTGGACTCCATGTGATATTTAGGCTGGTTGAATTAAAGGCTCTGACAATGACAGACTGAGGGGATTCACTAGGTTCTTTATAAATGATACCAAAAGCCAATTTGATAAACAAAACCAAAAAAAATGCCAAGTTAAATATGTGCCTTTTAACTAGAAGCATAAGGTACAACTGAATAAACTTACTTTCTTGTCTTGTTTCACCAACTGCGTGGATGCTTGAAGGACCTTCAAGGTTATACTTAATATTATATGCTTTCACAAAGAAAGTATAATTACGGAACTCTTCCAGATTTCTGGCATATGCTTCAGTTAAGGATCCATTATAAATTAATAGATCTGCAGTATTAGCCACGGATCCTATTTGATAAACGAGATATGCAATTCTACCATATGATCGTACTGGTGGAGACCATAGTATTCGAAGAGCAGTGGCGTTATAATCAACAACTAAGATATTCCTTGGAGGATCCAGAGGCACTGTAAAATGAAGCGAGGAATGATTTAGACTGAATTAAATAACTAAGTTTGTTACCGTAAGCTGATTTTTCCTTGCATCGATTGACGAATCTTATGAATTAAACACATAGAAACGATAGAAATACAAATTTATATATATGGATAAAAATCATCTTACCGTCTTCATCGGTTAAACCAGTTATTTGGGGGCTATATGGCCCTAGGCCAATACTAGTTCCGGCTGCTACCGATATCGTATAGTTTGTAAAAATCTCTAAATTTGCCAAATCAACGCTGAGAATGGTGCCATTCATACTGGCATTTTTATAAGACAGTTCTGATACTGATTTATATCGAACCAGATATATAATAACAATGCCATTCTTGTTACCATCAGGAGGTGATTTCCACGTTACTTTTAAGCTAGTTGAATTTATCGTCGTTACTTGTACTTTTTGTGGGGATGCACTTGGTACTAGACATAAAATAAGTAATGTTTTATAAATGTTATTTACTAATAAATCTACATATATACATAAAGATTAAACGATAAAACATATCAACCGCATAATAAAGTATTATCATCTTATGTAGATCATACCAGATTGTTGTGTCGTTCCGTTAACTTCTTGACTTTCTGAGCTGTTTAAGTTGTATTTTAAGTTATATGCGAGAACACGGTATGAATATACTGTATATGGATGTAATCCTGTATCAGTAAATCCCCTTGTTGTACTGTCGAAGATTAATTCCCATTGACTTTCATTTGCTAATGTCCTTTCTAATTTATATCCTACGTATCCGTTTAGCTTTAATGGTGCGCCCCATGTAATATTAATAGAAGTCGAGTTGATCACCGTTACAGATACATCCATAACGATACTAGGAACTGAAATAGATAAACATGATTCTCTTTATAAACGTTTAATATCACGTATTAACGTATCTAATACTCTATTTGATTTCCTTACTATAAAATAATTGAATTTATTTATTACTACAGTGTATATATAAAATATCAGCTAATAATTGTATTGTAATATACAGTACATTTAGTACAGTAATATATTTATCTCGTTTCCGTAATATGTGTACTGTAAATAATTTTACATTACCTTCTTCTATCTATTTAATTATATTTAACTACAGTATTTAAATGTTACTACTTTGAATACTATATTTATAACATAATGTAGAATATAATTAATATAAATTTATTACAGTGTAAGCGTGTTTTAGTGTAAATTCATATACTTAACTAACCGTCTTCGTCTGTTCGTCTTGTTATACTAGGACTATTAGGTCCTAGGCCAACCTGAGTTCTGGCAGCTACCGTTATCGTATAGTTGGTGAAAATTTGTAAACTTACAAGGTCAACACTGAATATATTACCCTCGACACTGACATTTTTATATGATACTTCTGATACCGATTTATATTGAATCAGATACTCTGTAATAATGCCGTTCTTGTTACCATCAGGTGGTGATCGCCATACTACATTTAGACTAGTCGAATTTGTTGTTGATACTTTTACTTCTTGTGGTGCTGCACTTGGAACTAAGTGTATTATATAATACGCATATATGATAATTAATAATTCCCATCGTATTATATGTGCAGTATAATTTTATATATATATGTATATTACACATATATCTATACATATTTATACAATATAGTATATAGCTACATAAATAATATCCTTGATTTATTAACTAATTAATTAAATAAGTAAATAAAGACTATATTGCTTTATATTTGTATACTATACCAGATTGTTCTGTCGTTCCGTTAACTTCTTGACTTTCTGAGCTGTTTAAGTTGTATTTTAAGTTATATGCGAGAACACGGTATGAATATACTGTATATGGATGTAATCCTGTATCAGTAAATCCCCTTGTTGTACTGTCGAAGATTAATTCCCATTGACTTTCATTTGCTAATGTCCTTTCTAATTTATATCCTACGTATCCGTTTAGCTTTAATGGTGCGCCCCATGTAATATTAATAGAAGTCGAGTTGATCACCGTTACAGATACATCCATAACGATACTAGGAACTGAAATAAATAAACATGATTCTCTTTATAAACGTTTAATATCACGTATTAACGTATCTAATACTCTATTTGATTTCCTTACTATAAAATAATTGAATTTATTTATTACTACAGTATATATATAAAATATCAGCTAATAATTGTATTGTAATATACAGTACATTTAGTACAGTATATTTATCTTGTTTCCGTAATATGTGTACTGTAAATAATTTTACATTACCTTCTTCTATCTATTTAATTATATTTAACTACAGTATTTAAATGTTACTACTTTGAATACTATATTTATAACATAATGTAGAATATAATTAATATAAATTTATTACAGTGTAAGCATGTTTTAGTGTAAATTCATATACTTAACTAACCGTCTTCGTCTGTTCGTCTTGTTATACTAGGACTATTAGGTCCTAGGCCAACCTGAGTTCTGGCAGCTACCGTTATCGTATAGTTGGTGAAAATTTGTAAACTTACAAGGTCAACACTGAATATATTACCCTCGACACTGACATTTTTATATGATGCTTCTGATACCGATTTATATTGAATCAGATACTCTGTAATAATGCCGTTCTTGTTACCATCAGGTGGTGATCGCCATACTACATTTAGACTAGTCGAATTTGTTGTTGATACTTTTACTTCTTGTGGCGGTGCACTTGGAGCTAAATACGTATAATAGTCATAAGTATTACTTATAAGTACTTATTTATACGTACATATTCAGAAGATTGCAATTCATATATGTAAGTTCCATACATATAATATTAATCATTTATATACACTAAACATAAGCTCGTACATATACTCCTACATGTACCCACCATCATTATTGCTGTATAGTTTATCAATTTATATCATATCATACCAGATTGTTTTGTTGTTTCGTTAATAGATTCGCTTTCTGATCCATTCAATCCGTATTTTAAATTATATGCCATAACACGATATGAATATACCGTATAAGGATGCAGTCCCATATCGTTAAACTCTCTTGTTTCATTGCCATCAAAAATTAACTGCCAATTGCTTTCATTTGCTAGTGTTCTTTGCAATCTATACCTAACAATCCCATTCAATGGCAAAGGCTGCCCCCATGAAATATTAATACCAGTTGCACTGAGCACCATAGCAGATATTATGGCTATCTTGCCGGGTGCTAATAAAGCAACACATATCACAAGTTATTAGCTTCAGCGTAATAAATCTGGTAATCATTATATTAATGCAATGTGGTATCACCTGCTTCATCCGTATAAGCTGAGATTTCTTTCGGGATACTAGATCCTACCGCATTACTAGCGACTATGCGAACATAATATTTTAAGGCTGGATGTAAATCCATGATCGTGGCCATCGTTTTGTTAACTATGCATTCACCAGACTGCAGGCTTCCATTACAATTAGGTGAAGTATAGTTCTGATTGGTTAATTGCGAAATTTTAATTGTATAATTTGATACAAACAAATTGCCCAAGAATAGTGGCGGAGCCCAAGCAATATCAAAAGATTTAGATGACGCGATGATCTTAATCTCTGGTATCTGTCCGGGAGGTGCTACGATAAATTACATACCGTAGGTCGTTTAGTAAACAACATTTCATATAGCCTTTTATATATATATATAATTATGCCGAAGTTTATTAATAACCCCATATTCCCTTTAGACGAGCAGGTGAGTTAAATACTGTGCACTTATTGAATGCTCTCCTTATTATAACAATTGTTAAACATATTACCTAGTACAATCAGCGACGTATTAGCATCCTTTCTTAAAGCAGAATCAAAGCTGTTATAGGCCTCACATCGGTAACTTCCATTGTGACCATTTTCCACATTATTAATGGTTAGAAGACTATACCCTAGTCCTGACGTAATATTATAGCTACTACTGTTCAATAGATTACCGTTTCTATACCAGTTAATATTTGGTAGTGGAATGCTGCTTGCATTACACTCAAAAGATACACTATCGCCAATCTTGATAGTTTTATTAAGCGGCTTAACAGTAAAGTAAGGCAACGCTAGAATCAAAAATAAAGATATTTCGTTTCAAAAGCAGCGCAATAAGCGTCCAATGTAACCTAATCAAAGAAACCATAATTCAACTTACTATATATAATTACAGAAGCAGAAGAACTGTTCACTCTAGAAAACTGATTCCATAATTCGCAATAGTAATTTCCCGCTGAGTTGCCTGACGCAGTCCCATTTAGAATACTGCTCCCGTCCATACTGCTTGTAATACTGTATGTAAGATTGTCTATCTCGACATCATCTTTGAACCACGTAAACGATGGTGAAGGATTACCGCTTCCATTGCATTGTAGTACCAATTGCTGAAATTCACTTACGTTTTTACTTTGAGGTGACAGAGTTACTAATGGTATCGCTGTGGAGTAAAAGGATTATTGTATGATAGTAGTGTTAATAAATCCAACGAATTTTTAATTACTGGTTTTAATTCTACCGGAATAGTAAAACACATTCAATTACTAAACACAAGATTTAATAATATATAGCAACAAAATATTCTTACCACCAAGAGTAATTGTTATATTTCGGCTACTGTAGGAACCGTTTCTACTTGAAACTTCGCATGAATAAGTGCCAATATCTGACTGCGTAATATTTTCTATTACGAATTCTACATAATTAGCGGTAATATTTTCCGAAGAAGCCTCGAATATGTTACCGTCTTTGTATAGAGTAAAATTATATAACGAATTTCCTATAGTTTGGCATGTAAAGTTCAGAGAATCGTTTTCAAGCACTACATTCTTGTCCGATAATATTTCGACAACATTTGCGCCTATAAAAGTACAGACATAAATCATATCACGAATAATAGCGGCTATCTACGAATTCTAAAAGAATTTACAGCATGTTGCATTATTAGAAAGTCTTATTTCACCAGCAGCACTTTCATTAAAATATATATTCATGATATCCATTCGTCAACATTCAAGCTATGTGATGCTATTGTAGACTAGGAAATATCTAATAGATAGTTCCATCATTCATATAATTCCCCTTAGGAATAACATTACTTATAATATCACCTAAGTGATTTTAAAGAATCAGTACATGTAATTTGACGATAGGAACTATGTGTGGTATTCGGAGTGCGCTATAAGAATAACAATTGTTGGACAATACTGTGGTTTAAGCAGAGCGTCTTAAGTTCAATAAAGGAGTCAGTACTGATTGCTGCAGTAGCTAAACTATTCAAATAAATCCTGGGTAGCTATAAAGAAATATAATAACTTTAATATAGTGTAGTATTCTGCATTATGTAGTAAATTATAAATTTCCTATTTTGTTATCTGCAATTAGGAAGTCGCAATACACGGTATTTGAAGATATTATGGCACTTTAATTACAAGATATTTCAGTATTTTCTAATACATTGTTCTAAATAAAAGCGTACTTTACGGCATATCGGTACGACGTGTATTTGATGGCAGTAATAGCTCTTTTGACAACTGTACAAGGTAAGTGGATGAAACAAGTACGTAAATGTACAAGCTGCAGCAATGCACATCGACGCATACCGTCGAAGATTGAAGTACGTTGCACTACTAGGTCGCGTCGCAATCTAATCACTCCAGTTATATATAGTATTATGGGTGCAGGCCAACTTCCTATTACGCTTAAGACTGAAGATGTGAGAGGAACTTCTATAAATAATATGTAATTTTCTCAAAAAATTTCACATACTCGTAAATCAAATTATATTATTAATTTCGTTTAATCTTTGCTACGTTCTATCATAATATGCTCATACTGTATGGTGGTATAAGCTGCACTCAATATACTGTACAGTATAGTATTCTGTTACATACAGCACAGCATAATCTACAATCTAATTATGACATCATTTAGAGATTATGGAGAAGTAAAATTCGTCAATCATTTTCTATCCGTAATACATGAATAGATAATTTATGATCATGCTTTATATGCAGCACTTTTCAACTACACTTCTACAATCAACATCGTCTTTTACTATAAAAAAAATAATCAACTTAGACGTACTAGATTCTAGGAATATAATACTTTAAAGCTAGCCTAAGATGCTGCTAATCACGAATTTCGGATAATAGTCTATCTTTAATAGAAGTCACATCACATATTGTATATCATTATTAGCCTCGACAGTTCGACCATAAGAACTAACTACTCTATATGAAAACCGAAAGTCCTGCTACCGCGTTACCGTAACTTTCTAATATTAATCGCAAGACAGACTAGTGGCAACATATGAATTGTCTATCACGTATGCATGGATAAAATGAGATATTCCTTTAAATAATTACTGATTAGTACTACTTTGCAAGATTGCTATAGAGCTTGCATAACAACATTGTGATGTAACATACAGCGGTATTGAACTCTATGATAGAATCACAGTAATGGACACAATATTTATGTTGTTTAATTGTAGCACCAATGATGAAGATGTAATATGTTATTTGAATTTGAAGTACAGTAGTGTAAATTGCAGTATTGCATTTGTAGTTTTAGTTATCTTTACAGGTAATGTATCCTAAATGGATTAAAAAATATATTTACTTTATTTAAAGTTATAACATATACTGTACTGTACGTTGATAGCTGCAGTTCGACCTTATGCAATATCTTTGATTACATTTCACAATTCGTAAGTTACGATATACCGTCCAAGTAAGCAAAACATCATCATAAATCATAAAGTTCCCTTTAGATCTATTTGATGGAAACGGGTAAGAAATTCATTCCACCCAATCGTATTAATCATAACTTTACTTTCAGAACTAGTCTACTTTGATCCTTAATTGATAATTACACTGTATAACTGATCACTTTATGTCATTACTACTGATTTCTCGTTTAGAATTCACAATGTCAGAAAGGACAGTATTAGTCTTGCCCACGTTGTTAACTTAATTCAGAAATCGAAAATTCTAGCAATCATGGCTCTACTAATATACGCGTAATTGTACTGTATAATTCTAAACCAACACATACTGATTGGATTATAATTACTGTATAGAGTACTGTAATAAGTCACATCCAAGTGACTCGATCTAGGAAGCCAAGCAAGATTCAAGAAGCTAACAAGTAATTACAAGAAGGCATCCAGTAAATTAGTCAATTGCGCCTAAACTGTACTGAACAGTACTCGTCTGACAATACTCTAGAATATGCAAATACTCGTAGCCCTCAGCTTGAATCATGAATGACCGAACTTCTCTTTAAACTACGGCGCAGAAAATAAAATTTCTCAAAGCATAATGAAGTACTCTATATCCAAAGGAGTTTTGACTTCATAGTAAACAAATTGGAAAGCATAAGAATGTTGTCAACATGGCTTAGTTTATATGTGTACAAGAACGCTACGCTAACGTGAAGAACTCAAGAATAAAGCGCTCTACCTTCCGACGACGCCCAAAAAGTTAATATCACCAGGCAAACCAAGGATTTTAAGATGCCCATTCCTTCCCTTTAAGTTAAGGCGGCTCTTCAACTGAAGCTTTAACTAAGCATTCAATACAGAATTTACTACAAACTTGATATTTCTGCGGTCAACATTTATTCTTCCTGAAGTATGAGAGATAATTCTATAATACACCAATTTAGAATGCTGCACAAGTAACAATGTAAAGTAACAATAGGGTTATTAGCTAAATAGAGCAACTTAATTTACTGTACCAAGTTTCATATCCATTTACGCCTAGTTTGGACTAAAATAGTAGTAAGGACAGCATTTTGAATCCATGTCCAGTGCAGTACAGTATGAATTCGCTACTGTATTAGGTCATTCGATACTGGATGTACTGTATCTCAACGATTGTACACTGTACAGTGTACAGTACAGTACCATACAGTGCAAGGCTACAACATACTGTACAGTACGCGGCGGCGTACTGTACTTGTCAACAACTCGCAGTCACAGCAGGCTAAATTTAGCCATTAATACTTGAATAATAGACATCCTACTGTACTGTACTCAGTAATTCGAATGAGAGAAAGATACAGTACTGTGAGGGATAGTACTGTACACTGTACAGTATACAGAGTACAGTACAGCACTATGCAAACAACGTGCTAGAAAGTTACAAATAAAACAAAACTAAATAAATATGGTACGGTACAGCACTACAGCGTAGTTACTGCACACTGCAACAACACTGCCTTGCTCTGTTCTTTATGAGCAACAATTCTAGCACAAATGGTTAGGGCGTGTGCTGTGATGTAAAAAATTCTTAGGGCGTATGTACTGTAATTGTTAATGAGTCCAGTCTCCAGTAAATAATGAATGATCATATGTCTGATGTGTACCGCACTACGTTACAATAATTAATTAATTAATTAATGATTATCGTAATTACGATATTGGTATGTTGGTAAAGTAGATAAATAGAAAAAAATGGACAGAGTAGTTTGAATGGTATAAACTAACTATAATTATTTCGGTGCAAAAATTAGTGATATACACCCTACATAGTCTCTCTACTCTATATTTGTATGGAAGATAACTACGGTCACTGATCTATACAATTAAGCGGTTTTACAAGGGGAATCTTCTATATTGCCACTGTTTTTATCTTTTTATAATGATTTCCACTAAGCACAGTGCAAGTAAAGCGGCAAACTATTGCAGCGGACTGGTAGTTATACCGTTTGAAGTATACTAGCTAACACTATCTTCAATGCAAGGATTGCCTATACGGCATTGCATGTACAGTACTGTAAAATATTGTATATTATACAGTATGTTACATTATACGGAATTACTAAGTAGGTAACGAATGTATCAAGTTTTACTATAAATTTCGTGCAAGCTGACTTGTGTCTACCACTCGGATACACTGCATTCTAACAATATAGAAAGCGCCTAAAAATATCGAAAAGCTGTGAAACTTAAAATAATCTTTAAAGTTGAAGTACATTCCAAATTCAATTAACGGTGGTGTTTAACTTGAAAATACGTATACAATGCTATAGAAGGCATTTCACATTATATTTATTCATGTAATCATAATAAAATATGATATCTGTTTCACTTACATACTGTAATGCTATGGGATTTCGAAGAAATCATAGAATGAATAATATGATATAAATTAAATTTCGTAAATCATAGCTTTGTCCCTGACATACGCCTGTTCACCATTCGGTCTAAACTCTCAGCTAAAAAAGTACGATAACTACCAATATTTTTAACGAATAGAATTTGATTTATCAAATATGCAATAATGCAATGATCATATTCTAAAGTTTACGCTTTACTTTAATAGGTATGTACTAATTCACGTTGCGCAAAATGAATAATTACCGTAGTCCATCACCATTTTACTATATCGATAAGAAGTGAGACAATCAACAGTAATATGATCGTACGTCAATATAAATTTATTAGCAAACATATACTCTTCTTTAACCAAAGATGGTAAATCACCCGTGCCAAATACGCAAACTCCTCTGAGAAAGAAACCCTTGCATGATTCTCCGCCCCAGCGTGCTAACTTTATTTTCATATTATATCTTTTATTTCTCTGAGTATTATCGTAACGTCCAGGTGCATCCCGATGACGCTGAAGAGTTGCCCAAAAATTTTCATCTGGGCTGTAAGTGGTTTTAAGCCAATTACGCAATCTAATAGCGTCCGGATTGGTAAACACGAAGCGACAGAATTCATACGTTAAAGCATAGTAAGCACTACCTTTAAATAATTCGATTCCCGTTAGGCTTTCTTTATCTTTAGCTGTATTGATTAGTTGATCGTTTATCGTTTTATATACCTTCTGCCAACGCCATTTTAAATGAGGAGCAAGATAAGTCTCGACATCATTCTTACCATGCAGCGATTTTAAATACGTTACTATTTCTCGATTTGTCTTTAGAGGAAAATCTTGACCACACAAATTGATAACGTATTTCCATGGCTTCTTTGAATGCAGTAAATCGTTCATGCACAATAAATCCGCTTCTAGTCTGCTATATGAAGCATACACTACAGAAATAGATTTCGTAAGAAAAACGTTATCAAAGCATTTAGCAAAGTTGCGTAATACGTTATGAAAGGCTAGGGAAGATTTACTATCTGCATGAATACAATAAATATTCTGCGGAACGTAAATAGCTTGTAGTAATCTTAATACTTGTTCAGCATCGCGGTGTGCAGTTAAAATGTAAGCAATTGGATACTCTAGTTCTGCTTTAGAAAATGGAAGTACAGGAAAATAGGGCGTAAAGTTAGAACAATTGCTAGAAAAATCAGCGAGTCTTTGATCTGAAATTGTACTTCGCTTTCCAGAGTTTTTCAATTTATCAGTGACATGTTTGATATTATGATTATCGTTACCAATAATCTTATCACAGCGTGGCTTATTCTTAAAAACCGAACCATAATAATTATTTGTTCCAAATCTAGAGTAGTATCCGATATAAGGGTCAAATTTCTGTAAGCAGCCAGGTGATTGTTTTTGAATCATAAAGCTGTCCGAGAAATTTACAATAAGTGGTTTAGGCAAATCATCGAAGCTATCATTAAAATATGTCGATTGTATCTTGAGTGCTGACAACAAAGGCATAAAATTTCTTGATAAATATAGGGTAATAATTAGGCCACAAAAGGAAGTAACTGTCAACAAAACTTGTAAGATCTTTTTCATTATCACGCTGCTTACGTTGCACCTGATCAATTGCCCATCCACTGTAGAAACATCGCATACCGTGCCATACAGTTTGTATACATAGAACTGCACAACATAGATTTCAACGTCATGCAAAATAATTCATTCCGTCCACCGATGGAAAATGTATGCGACGTTCTGTTGCAATCTAGTTAATAATGACAGAAAATTTTACCTTAAATAAGTTAAGAAATTACCTGTACGAAAAGTTACGTATTAATCGATGAATAAACATAATTAAATTCATTCTAGCAATAATTGAGTACATACAACAGTTTAATTTTTGTACTGTAATGTCAGCACTTTTGCATTCATGAAGCTTACCACTTGTCGTTTTATAGATCACTCAGAGTGCTGCAGTGCAGAAAATACATGTATGATATCAAAAATTTACCAGAATTATTGACTGATAAATACGAGTATCTACCTTTAAGTTTAATTTGTAAAAGATGCATCACCCAAGCAAGACGTTTTACTTACGCTATGACAGAATCGTATTATGTTCCCATCAAAAATCATCCTATAGTACATTCCTGAAGCTGTAAACACATGCTAAGATAAGATCACCGTAAGGAATATGATTTTTATCGTCTCACTAGGCAAATAGAATATCAAGTGTTGCCCTTTGGATACATTGGCGACACGAAAGGACGATTACGTGATTCGGTAACTAAATGAGATTAATTACAGTAAAATTTACTGATAGTAAGTTTCTATTCAAAGCCCTTCCACAACTTTGGCGAAATTTTTAAAATACTTCAATAATAAAATAATATTATTTGAATATGCAACTAACTCTATAAGCAGCATCTGACTGTCATAGCAGGTTCTTAACACTTAAAATAAAATCCATATTATTAAGTGACATGGAGTTTATCTTATAAATATCGCAAGATTAATGCAATAGATGTCACTATTGCTTAGTATCACATGCTCACAAAAAGTAAAATTTGTATTACCCTGAATCGATACCATATTAAAAAGCTTAATGCTCCACTTAGTCACTTAGTGTACACTGTACAACACTGGTACCGTGCATCTAGTAATTCTTGAAACAGCGCTCCTTGACACTGACAGCATACATGATAAATAAGTTACGCGTAATTCACAGGATTATCAGAAATTAATAAATACACATTTGTGTGTATATGCAGTACTGTAATATGAGCTAGAAATATATACAGTATCTGCGGTAATTTGGTATTGCTGTTACGCATATCACTGCTCAAGCCGCTTATTTTAGGCCAAACATTGAAACTGAAGCGCAAAAATGGCACCTTACTACACCGCATACTGTACAGTACAGTATGTCAGTTGTTATACTGTATATCACTAGAATGCAACATGACAAGACAACAGCATTTATATGCGGTATTTTAAATATTTTTAATAAACAATTACATACAGTCTTAGTGTCTTACTGTTAGTAAATTCAAAAGAAGCGACTGGCTGATCGCAAATCAATTAAATGAGTACTGTACTGGTATTATAAAGTAAAATCAAATACTGTACATTGCCCTGCGTAAAACAAAAACTGTTAAAGCGCAGTATTGTATTGCAGTTAATACGCTAGGTCAAGTTTACCGAGCCTATCATTTTACAAAGTAATGATCTCGTTTATAAAGCCATCAAATCATTGCTTATTTTATAGAGTAAACCAGGTCGCCTTGAACCATGGCAATTTTTATAATAAGTTACTACGAAGTTAATCGTTAATTTAAGACATAACATTTCAAAGGTAATTTTACAAACCTTCTTAGTTACTTCATAAAGTAATCAAGTTAATGGTCATTTTATAAAATGACCAAGCTGACCTGGTTTACTTTATGAAATAATCAGCTCAGTAAACTTGACTTAACATACGCGTACATATATATATGCACAAAACTTTTTTACTCCAAATTTACTACAGATAGGTCAGAATCAAAGTTAGGTCAGGTTGAGTTGAATGCAATGCAGGATTGGATTTAATATGAAATTTTAGATCAATATGAAAATGTTAGTACAGTACAAGCACGAAAAATACTAACTGCATACTCAGGTTCTGTATACACCCCTTTAAGTATATTTTCTTTTTACATTATATCATCAATCCTCGAAAAGTACATAAATGTACGGCAGCTAAATGGTTCCAGGGTTTCTTATCAGATTTCAGTGTTCGACTGTCTGCGCACAGTGTAATTTTACTTGTATCAGCAAAGGTGAAACCGAGATGCTCTATTGATTGTATTCTTTTAATACTGTATGTACTACGCTGTGATGAAATCCGATCACGAAAATTCCAAAGTTGTAGAAAATTAGAACTTTGGAATCTTCGTGATCGCATTTTATCACATACACATATATAATAACATCTAAAGTACGTTACTGTAATTGTAGTTGTAATTTTAATAATTTTAATCATATCATATCAAGATTAATTAATAGCGGTGATCTACCATAGCCCATTCCAATCTACGGCATGAGACAATATGCAATTGTAAGCAAGTAAATTGCAATGCTGTACCTGCTGTAGATCAGCAGGCAGCAGTGAACTTACAGAAAGTAACATCAAATCAAATCAGCATAGCAAGCCTTTAGTGCATTATAATTAATTATTAGTTATAATTATTAACAAATACAAATTTACCTAGTAGCTTTGCAAGTTCGGATGAATATGTCGACGTATCCGATATAACCGTTCTTTAAAAAGAGCCTCCCATCAACATCGGAACAGTATTGTTAAGCAGAATTATTACTAGTGTTCCAGAGTACGGTATACTCTACGGTTACAAAATGTAAATGAAAAATGCGATATTTTGTTATTTATTTATGAATCAGTAACAGACTAACAGTACTTTAATTAAGGACTTGCAAATTTAACACACAATTCACAAATCTACAGTAATAAGAGGAGTCCCTTCAGTGTACAGCCTGTACAGTACTGAACGGTACTATAAAATGTAATGTGCTACAGTACATGTACTGTAGCTAGTACTGTAGTAAAACTAGCAAGTACTGTACTGTACTGTACGGTACAGTACGCAAAATCGGGCTGATCAATTTGGAACCGGACGTACTGTACTGTTCATACATACTGCACCGTACACTGTAGTTTGTGACAACGTGACAAACGCGACATATCAGGAAGCCTGACAAAAGTGCCACATGCCTGCCGTAAGGGCGGACGACTGCTTCATCCTTGATGAAATAAAGGACAAAAGATTCTCTTTAATATCTTTCAGTGCACAAATGAAGGTATAGAGGCTAATACGCAAAGCCATTTCACCCTATGGCTGAAAGCCTGAGGGTTGACTGCTGAGGCTTTCGAACTGAATTTGTGTTTGTTCACTCACTCATTAATACTGTACAGTACAGTTACCACACACTACAGTATATATGTTATGTATAATAAATAGGTAGTAAAATATTAAATATTATATTATATTATAATATAATACAATACTGTACAATATAATTACCAAATGTCGGAGACTAATACACACGTGTCATTTTTGCATATCAGTATATTGTATACTGTACTGTACAGTACAGTCTAGTACGCATAGTAATACGTCAGCAACACGACGGGTGATTGTACTAGACCTTTATATTCGCAAAGTCGACAAAAATTGATCTACGTCAAACAAAGGAAGTCATCAAATTTATACAGTACTGTATCAAGTAAAATTATGCATTGACCTTAATAACATGTAAAAAGTAAAAGTTACAACTACGTACTAGGGATCGACTAGTAATCATAAATTATGATAAAATCAAATACGGTAAAACGTCGCACAGCTTTATGTTATGTCGTGTGAGTGAAGTAAAGAACAATCCCTAAAGAAGTAACAGCCAGTACAACTGTTACAACAGCTGCGCTTCATACTGTAAATTAGTAATATTCTTTAGTACGCCTATTCATTCAGTGTTGAGGCTCTATTCTGACACTTCCTGTTGCATATGTTGTCATTACTGAAAATATATATTGTACTGTACTGTAATGTACAACAGGAAATTTAACGTGGTGCAAATGCATTGCAAATACTTTACTGTACTGTAAACTGAGAAAGAGTCCTTTCAGTCCTTTTAGTTTACACTACGCGGGTAATACAAATAAATACCCTTGGCCTTTACAGCTCCAGGCAATGAATTACGAAAACAGCAATTTTCTCATAAAATTTCAATGAGAGGCATAAAACAGTATGTACTGTATTGTACCAATACGTATACGTGTACATAGTAAGAGCACGTTATTTCGTTGCTCCAAGTCAGATCTACTCAGTGCTCAGAACCATATAGCCAAAAAAAAATATCTGTTATGGCTCAGAGCCTCAGACAGGGGCTTCATACAGCGCCTTCAGTCATGGAGGACTTCTTGCGTACAGTCATGCAGTACTCTGTTTAACATATGTACTTTTTACTAATTGAAAAGTACATGTCACGCACAAACAAGAAATAGAATATACTGTACTGTATAATAGATTAGATTATAATCATCGGCGACAATGAAAAAGGAGAAATATCACAATCTCTCTACATTGTTGATGTGGAAACAAGCAAGGATGATACCTTGTACTGTATTGTACTGTACAATGTACAGTACAATGTACAGTACAATGTACAGTATACAGTACAGTACACTGTACAGTACTACTGTAGATCCATAATCATGGACAGATCTCCAGAAAATTCTCTCTTAAAGGTTAAGTACTGTACTGTACACTACAGTACTATACAGTGTACAGTACAGTACAGTACTGTAGTCTAATAAAAATACTGTACAGTACATACTGTACAGTACTGTACAGTAGGCCCCACTAGTTCCCTCATACTGTACTGTACTGTACAGTACTGTACAGTACTGTACCTTACAAAGTGCTTTTTTTACTGTACTGTACAAGTGTATAGTAACAACCGTCTCAAGCGCCGGACAATTCTACAAGCTACGCTGTTATTGGTGTGCAACACAGCGTACAGTACGTCTAAATGCCGAGAATGTCGTCCGCAATGGCTGAAAGTAAGAAAGCTTTGATTAATTCAATTTGATAGCACAAGAATTACACCGTAATACCTCGTAAAGGAAGTATCGTTAAAAATTTTTATTTAATTTTCTTCTCACCCTAATCCCACGCTTCAACCCAGGCTGATTATATCTGTTTACCCCCAATGTGATTTCACTTTATGGTACATTTGCAGCACACGAATATGTAGTACTGCATGGTTTACAGTACATTTACAGCACAGTATAATATGCTTCGCACCACCACTCGAATCCACTAGATTGACTCGAGAGTATATACAGTATATGCGTATACTGTACATACAACCCTCTACGATCACTTTCTTCTATATCTTCTTCATCATACTGTGTATAAGCTATTAAGCGCGGTTAATATTACAGCCAAGGACATAACTATCCATTTGTTAAAATATTGATTAAAATCCTACATTTTGTAATAAACTCGCTAAATCTGTATTCCGTCTAAATAAATAGTCGTTGCATATACAAGCTTCTATGGCGATGGAACGCATGCTAAGCTAAACTTGTGTTAATAAATCGTTTCACCTGGAGTGAAGTATCTAGCAACAGTAATGTTAACGGTGGCGTGGTTTAACCCATTGCCAATCAAATTAATTTATTGTTAACTTGTATTATAACATCACAATAATTGCAGCACAATCCAGATACTTCCCTAATAACTACAGTATACCATAATAGCGAGTATGATAATCTAAAAATATAACCGGATAAGGTTCTACAATAGTAACGAAAAGCTCGTTATTTTGCGAAGAAATCGGAACAGTTCCATTCCTAAGTATTCCAAGTATAGGTATTTCTAAGCGCTGGTTCACGATAGTTTGTGGAACTGCTAAGCATTGCTATGTGACAGAAGCTACTCGCTTCAATCATACTGTACAAGTGTGCATTCGACGTACAAGCATTGAATGCTTAAATTACCTAATGATAATTTCAGCACAATCGTTACACCAGCAAAACTATTTACTCTTCCCTCACCTGAGATGATTATTAAGTAGATCAATAGATAAAAACGGTCATCAAAATGAAATATGATCATTAATTTTACAGAGTCTATCGACCCTGAACAGCGGAACATCATAATAAAACTAGCTAACTTTGTAGCTAGAAATGGCCCTGAGTTTGAAGAAATGACGAAAAACAAGCAAAGAGGCAACCCGAAATTCTCATTCTTATTTGGTGGACCACAACATGACTTTTATAACCGATGTGTAGCAGAAGAAAGAGCAAGTAAGTAAATATGCTACCTCAATGTACACTAGCAATCATTTCTTTAGATAATGTAATCACCAATGTATCACTATTAAGTAGATTCTAAAGTGTAGTTTCTTGACTACAGATATGAAAGCACAATCTCTTCAGCAAATGCCGCCTGTTGTAAGGCATAACGTTCCTCCGCCGTTGCAGTCAAATGTTCATCCATCAATCCAAACAGCTCCTTGGCGTCAGCAAAACCCTATACCACATGCCCCATCACATCAGTCAGTCTCATTTCCACCAGTGCAGCAGCCTCCAGGAATGTTGATGCAAGTAGCTCCTCCTATGCATCGCATGGGAATCGATGCTAATGAATTTAATGACATTCTCAAACCTGTGATAGAAACATGTTCTAAAGATTCGGTATCTAACGGAAAGAATTGGATATTTGATCATACGATGACCATTGAGGATTGCCAACAAATAGCTCATCTAATATTCAATAGGTTAAGTGTTATGTCACGATTAATTTACTTTATAATTGAAACTATTGATGAAATTACATTCCAAATTATTTCAGAGCTGTTGCTTCCGGAGTACCGTTCATATATAGACTGAATCTGATTTATCTTATAAACGATTGTCTTCATCACTGGTAGGTGACTCTGAACATTCACTTAATTATTTTATCTAAGCTTCATTTTAAATTATTTTAAATAAATGCTTCGTTGGCCTGCTATATTTATAATTTCACTGGCAGCATCCGGAAAAACGCAAATGACTTATTACGGGTCCGTCGTCCAATGTATTTAAATATTATAGATGTTAAAGAATTATGACCATTTATTAATTGTAATAATATTTATATTTATTACCGTCTATAATAGGCATTAGAACATGTAATTCCTCCGATATTCGACGCTGCTTTCAAATCATGCGAATCTGCTGATCATAAGCAAAAACTCGATAAGGTAAAAGCCAGTTGCCGTCGAAACCACGTGGGCATACGGAATACCTCAGTATTTTCAACCATTATTTTTAGGTCCTAGGATTATGGGAATCTAATAAATATTTCAGCCCGCAACTTTTCGACGTAGGTTTTCTAATTATGTACAATAACACAATATTCGATACCGTAGCTTTTAAAAGTTCAGGAAACATCAATAGGATCACAGTGGAAATCATTCGCGATTAATGTGATTATGAATTCTTTATTTTTTGCAGCAAGTACGCCACAACAGTGCTTACCAACAAGTAAGCGCCTTGTACTCATACATATATTATTCTCTCGCCTATTCTCCTGAAATCCAAATTTTAATGTTTAGGGGACACCTAAAATGCAGCATGTTGATTCCGCAGGTACATACGCGTATTGTTATTAGGAAGGTGGTGAGTAAGATCTGAATGTATCTTCTTTCACTTATAAGGCTACAGCGTTCCCAATATGGTACCGCCCTTAATTCCCAGCCAACAGCCAAACGCAGTAGGGAATCAGGTAATTACCGTCTTAGACATGTCTCAGTACGTATGTAAGAATCAAAAACCTTACAAAAGTTTTTATATGCATACAGTTTCCTAGCCATGCAACTTTTCCTCAATCTTTGGCAAATCCGCCTAATGTTTCGCTTAACCGACCAATGTCTCATCTTCAGCCCCCACCCAATTTTATAGCACACAACCCTAGCTCATCAATGCCACCTTCTTCCGGTCAGATACCACCACCGCCGTTAGGGATGTCTGTAACAACTCCGGACGCGAACCAAATGCAAGCTAAATATTATGACCTACCCGCTGGCTTAATTGTCCCTCTAACCAAGGTAAAATAAAAATAAAACTTTTTGCCTGTACAGTAATTAATTTTCTGTTCGCTACGGTGTTTTCATTAAGCATACAAAATATTTATCTACTGTTTCATATCTTAGACCTGTAGCACTGAATATAAATCTCTAGAACCAGGTGAGGTTAAGCTACCTCTTCCACAACCCCCTGATGAAGAATTATTGCAAGCTTTAGATACCTTTTACAGTTTCGAAACAAAAGAAGGCAACTTAGACAGGTAACTTTAGCGTAATAGTATAACTTTTCGACAGTTGATCTACATCTTCATTGTTATCCCCCTATCAGTGAAGGATGGAATATTGAAGCTGTTTTAGCCTTTACGAAAACTTTACCAAAAAGAAGTAAACTCACAAGAGATAAAAGAAGGTGATACCCAATAAAGAATTTACTCATGTAATTTTATTAGCTAAAGTTTGAAATACATCTTTTCAGGTCTTATTCAAGATCGCGATCTAGATCAAGATCGAGATCTCCAAGAAGACGTAGACGCCGGTAAAAAGTCTACATAAACTGATACTCGGGAGTACGATATACGCCTACTTTGTTGCAGATAACAAAACTAATAAAAATGTATCACCGTATTTAGGCGCCACTCTAGATCAGAATCTAGATCGCCAAGATCGGACAGGCAAGTAGTTCTAATCTGTTCTACTTATGAATAGTTACAAGATTTAATCACGAAGTTGTTAATATCTATATTAGGCGAAGATCACGTTCGCGTTCTTCCTCTCCTCGCCGATCAAGGTGCGTAAATAGCGTTAATTGCAATTTACTGGGTTGCTACAGTTACGATTACTTAATTTAATTATGTTCAATACATACATAAATTAGATCGCGATCATACTCTCCAAAGCGATCTCCTCGCGATCGAGAAAGAAGAAGTATTACGCCACCATTTGTCCCTTTTCAATCTACAAGGCGAGAAGATTTTATAAACGAAGATAATGTTGGTCATCAACTATTACGAAAAATGGGTCAGTTTTAAAATTTTATGCTAATTGACTAAATAACTACTAAAAGTGGATAAAATATGCCATATAATTATGATATGGCTCAGGATGGGGCGGTTCTGGACTGGGAGCAAAGGAACAAGGTATTCATGAACCAATTAAAGAAGGCGAAGTCAGAGACAAAGTTGATCAGTACAAGGTGATTTATATAAAATTCAAGTTATTAGCATCAATATACTCTTCCATTACTAAACATTAGAATTGGTTTTATTTTAGGGTGTTGGTGTTTCCCTTAATGACGCCTTTGACACATATCGCAAAAGTAAAAGTTACACCTATAATAGGAAGCCTCGTGGAAGTGACAGATAAGCAATTGCTAAAGGAGCATGAAAGAACTTTTTTTTATACCTCATCAAGTTGCGCTAGCGATGCAAATAGGGCTAAAAATCTACGTAACTTGAAAACGGTTTTAAAAGACATGGTACTTTACGATGGAGTGCTGATTCTGTAAATGTAATCTATTAATTATTATAGTTGAACCCTTAAAACCTACAAAAAATAATATTTTGTTTTTGTCAGCCATTAAAATTACTATGTAGGAGATGTGTAAAAGGATTCATTAATACAACAGAATTTGTCTTTGTGTATCACCATCTTAATGTAAATAAAGCTATCCGAAAATGTACGATACTAAATACTGCATATATAAACAATTCATTGTTTGATAGCCCTTCAGAATTACTGAAATACATTTAATAGATTACTTAAGAAATTCGTACTGCATAAAATCATCGCAAAGGAAACATTTAACGAACTGCAATGTGTAAAAACAGTGTACTTGTATTTGGCAATTAAGTGAGTAGAAATAGAGCCAATAATTTCAATCGTAATGACATTGAGGATTTTTAAGATACCTAGTCAATTGTATTGAAAATAATTATTAACAGTTAATAGTAATATAACGACCCTCACTTAATAATCTACTTGATATACGCGTATGTTACGCTAGATATATTTTCAAGATCAAGCCAACTTGATAACTTTCAAAATTCTCTTATTTCTCAAATTTTTCAGCCTGAGTGACCTAAAGTATTCAGAGCATACATTTTACAACCAACTTCAGCAAGCTGTAAAAGCTAACCCGTTGTATAGTTAGAATCAATAATTAGAGCTTAAATTGCTTTGCCTACCAAATTCTTGCATGATAAGGGTATCGTTATTTTCATCATTTAAGATTTGCATTTTATCATTTTCATTCACCGCATGACGCAAGGATCTAGTAGTGAGAAAGTTGTTCATATGTGAATAATTTCGCTAGAAAGTAAGCGGTCGCAATGTTGCGCAGATGCGACCATGCGATAATCAAACTTTACAATTGTGCATTTGTTTCAAAAATCGAAATAATTTACTCCTTGATATCTTCAAATAAAATAGATGACTCGATTTAACGTAAAACTGTGATCATAGGAAACGATCTGTAACCTGAATCTATTTTAAATATGAACAACACTTATCCCAATAGTAATGCAAAGTCTTAAATACCTTCCTTTTTTCTTGTATAAATAAATCCCTAAAAATGTAATACAAAATAGCACGATAGGTCCTACAATCCACCCTAAGATTGTTGTGTCATCCCCTAAAATAGGTAACATGGTCTTCACTTAAGAAAAGCTCTTTAATTGAATACTATTTTACTATAATCAAATCGAGACTATTTCAATAAACTTTATTTCTATATAAATCATATTGGCACATATTCTATATATTACTTTGATGGTTACTTTCATATATGATGTATGCTATTTAGTTACGATTTCAGAACTTTACTGATTACTAGAGGTCAATTAATATCACATTTATTCTCGTATTAAAATTTAGCTATTCGTTTAAAGTAGTCATTACTGTCTTAACACTTTTAGAATATGTGGAACTTACTAGAACATTTCATAAAGTTACTTCCACAAATAATAAACAACTTCACCGTAAGCGATCATTATATAGCTGATAGTATATTCATTAGACTTGCAATTTTATAGTATAAAATTCCCTATTAAACTGCAAGTTTTGCCTAAATATTGATCGCTTAAACCTACCATATCAATGTATTAGCAAGTTTCGTATTTTTACACGAGTATTACCTACCATTATTTTTACGTTAAAAAAACATAAACTATAATATTTCATAATACCTGGTGTAATTACACCAATGACTGCATAGCTCCCCAAGTTTGGTAGTTTCCTTAAAGTGTTTAATAACTTTGTTACAGAAATTGACGCATTACTTCGAGTAACTATAGTCAGTTCTACTTTAATGCTTCCAGGTCTAAGCAAACATGAAATAAACGGAATAACAAGATATATTCAGATTTTCATTAGCCATAATCTACAGTAGCTACAAGATTAAATTAAATTAAATGCACACTTACTTACCTGATGCGGTTTATTAGAATATCCAAAATTGTGCCATTAAATACGGTATCACGATAAATTTTAAGAATCTATACAAAAAAATGATAATACATCATAGCTATTTACTACTTTTAGGAAATACCCGTCTAAGTAAAGATCAAAATCTCCAGTTTGTTTATTTCCATGACTCATTACATAGATATATAATTTGTTTACTGTCATTTAAAATCACTATTTATTACCTGTGTCCGTATTAGTGCAGCAAGACTTTTAAATTCAGTACTCGTTTTATTATAGAGTTCATTGTTAAAGCTTCCCGATAAGATAACGGTCGCGGTATATAATTTAACTGTAAGTAAATACATTAATACATTTATTACGGCCAACCATAAATGTCAAGTACACCATTGTACTAACAGTGTTATGCTATCTAATTTTATTGCAGCTATCTAAATAGTGTTCAGTAAACTTATTTTTCATCGAACTAGCAATTTTAAATCCCTTTAGAGTCCTAAAGCAACAGTGCCATTACTAGTAATTGCTTTAGGGAATTATCTTCTAAAGCTATACTTTAATTAAATTTCAAATGTGAGCGTTTACTTGACTTTTAAATACAATCTTATTAAAATGTAAAATATATTTATCGAGGATTAGTTAATGCTGAAATCTAATTCTTCTAAACTCAGTTACATTGATACGCAGCTTATTTTATATTTTCAACGAATGTTTTGCATTTAGCTAGTCTTATCACTAAATTTGCACTCGTGTCTCCGTCGTCTAAGGAATGAATTGTACTCCAAATACTAAATTAATTTAAAAAGTCTCGCATTACCAGAACAATCTTGATCTGACTTCCTTTCTGTCCCATCTAATATAGTAGAGCTTATATTTACTAAAATCTTGCATTTGCAGCGATATGACCCTTGAACATTAATGCACGTCGATAAATTGCCACAAGGTGTAATAACTGATTGGCATTCATCAATATCTGAAAAAGGATTAATAGATTGCTTAAAATTATTGAGAGCTATAATTGTTGCTATATGTTGCATCACTAAGTAATTGATAAATACACTTAGTTTCATCCGATATGGATTCAGAATTAATAAAAATTAAATTATCTATCAAATTAGGAAAACATTTTAATTCAGACCTTGGCAAACGTGACCATTTCCTGTATACCCTTCATTGCACTGACAAAGAAATTTAGAATCGATCCTTCTGCATATTGCATTTCTGTCACATACGGAATACCGAAAGCAGTCTTTCTCATCATCCATAATATCTTCTGGGAAGGATTAAAGTAATCATATTAAAATGCAATCCTTAAAACCAGTATAAAAATCATAAGTTGTTGTTATTATTACACTAAAGTCCTAGTAAAAAGCAGAATGAGGAACTAGAACAATATTAACCATAATAAACAATCAGGCATGTACAGTACTGTAAATTTAAAGATAACAGAATCCCAAAACATACCATAATGTAAATATGTAGATCCCTGTTTCAATTTTGTTGTTTTATTATGTCGAAAACTTGCTATGCAAGTATAATTTCCCGCATCAGTTGGTCTTAGCTCGGATATTGTTAGCCACGATATTAATATTTTATTAGACTCTTGATACATTCTAACTATATGAAATCGTTTAGTGTGATCATTTAAATGAATTGCTACATTGTCTTTAAGCCATGCGATGTCAGGCTTGGGTTTTCCGACAATCGAGCACTTTATACTGATGCTTTCACTTAGATAGAATCGTGTAGCATTAGGCTCTAGGTAAACCTCAGACATAAATGTTTCTAAACAGAAAAGAAACGGCCAATATTAATCAATGAAATAAATCATATTATAAATTATCTCCATGTTAATTAAATTACAATAATGAATAAAAATATGTGGCTAAGATATATTATAAAATAAAAAATTGAGTAATTCGCAAGTCGGGGCCGCCCCTATAGGATTAAATCATTCATTCGATGTAAAATTTATAAACCTGATTGGCATTGGCTTTCGTCCCAAAACCCACTTGAACAGGTGCAGATATAACCCTGAAATGGCGTTATGATATCTATACATGAGCCGTTACTTCTGATACATGGAGAACTTGAGCAGGATCGACCTTATCGTATTCATAAAAGTAAAGATTTGCTGTTATGGTTATATGCTTATTTATAAAATGATAAAACAAAGAAACCTATTTGATCATTCGGGCACATAAGGCTATCTGCTGAGGCTCTAGAATGTGAGATTTGAATGGCACACATTTTACTACTTCTCCTCAATGCTTTAGAATTTAATTAGTCCACTTTAACAGACATTTAAACAATTACCAGATAGCATGTCACAATTTTAAAATTTGTGCAAGATTCATAATTAACTTACGCCGAATGGACTGATGCTAATCCTTCCATGGATGGATCCAGTGATTTATCTACAGGATAAGCATAAATACATACTCATACTCATAGATATAGCGTAAAAGTATCTACTCCTTCTATTGGCACTAGAAAAGTTGTAACGTCTAAGATACGTATAAAAACAAGGAGCGATTCCCAAATTCACTAGATTAGTTAATTTTTTGAGAATTTATAGATTAACTGCTACTCCATAAATTTAATTAATTGTTATTGTTTACCATTAACGATACAATGCCGCACTATCGTATCGAATAAAGTTATGTAAGCCATTCCATATATAAATCCTACCCTTATTATTACATAATTGATTATCTACTTGTTTTCACAAGAATACAGCGAACCTATGCAGGTGATACCAGCAACTTCTCCTGTAAAGCATTCTTGAGAAGAATTCAAAATACTAAATAAGCATTGATTGAGCGATACTTGATTGCCTGAACAAGACCTTGCTTTCAAGTATCCTATTTCTTTCCCATAGCTCTTTATAAATGTAAGCTGCTTATTCCTATTCCCACGGACATAACTCATTTTGGCTGCTTTGAATCCTAGCTGGCGACACGCTACGTTTGCATGCGCGAACTTCCAGCCATCGTTGCAAACGATTTCCCATCGACCACGTTGAAATATTTTTACATATCCTTCTCCATAATGAGAACCTCCAAATAATCGTATTTTTATTTTGTCATCATCTATTCACATTGTAAATAATCCCATAGGAAAAAATTAAGTAATCATAACTGATAATCGTAGTACAACTACTGACTTTGTGGCTATCCATTTTTTGGATACAATTATAAAAATATATATAAATTACCATATAAACAATTATATCCAGTGTAACCTTCAGCGCACTGGCAAAAGAAATTATCTACACCTGCTACGCAAATACTCTGATTATTTATGGAAGGACCGCATGGATTGGAAGCACATTCATTTATTTCTTCAACGTAGCAAAATAAAATTTTAGTATAGCGTAAAATTCTATCCAAATAAAATTAAAATTAATACGATTTTACAGATATTACCAATACTACAATTTTGGCCAGTATATCCTCTTTGACATGCGCATTCATATTCAGCTGCATTTTTACCCTGTATACATCGTCCATACATACACGGGGTCACTTGTTTTCTACATATTTCATCTAAGAAGTAAAAATTTTTACTTCAGTAAGATATAGTAAAAACTGAACAATAGCTATCACAACATACAATATAGTATAACATGCATCCCATAAGACTAGATCATAATGCTATTCATAACAATATTAAAAACATTGTACGATAGACTATAAAGTTATAAATCATAATTGAGCCATGGCTCCAGATCTTGCATTACATTACCTGAGCATATTATGCTAACGTCGTGTAAATGATCACAATTAACATTAGCGTGATAAGGGCAATCCAGAATTGATGTTTCATTACCCAAGCACTGTAAATGCGACATAATAATACGTCCATACCCTTTGCCAAAGCTTCCATCTGTATTTGTCTTTTTGTAATAGCTTTTCACTCCATTATATCCCAATCGGTGGCATATAAGCTCTGCGCTAGTTTTCGTAAACCCTTTACCGCATATTGTATTCCAAGTACCATTTGCATAGACTTCAATTCTTCCTGACATTGATTTCATGCCCGGGTAGAATACATTTGGTACAAGCCTCAAATCTCCCTTATTCACGCCATGATACTCACATTGACGGCCATATGAACCATCAGGACACCTACAGTAGGCATCCTGAAACAAATTATGAGGATAGCATGTTGCATTGGATGAACACCGAAGATCACCTGTAATACAACTATTCAATCTACATTTAAGAGACATAGTCTCATAGCCTGAACAATCATGACTACCCCATGGAGAATGAGAGCAATTTGCGAGCATAGATTCATTTCCATAACATGTTATATTTTCCATCCATAAAAATTCATCTATTCCATAAACTGAACAACAATGATACCACTCAAATGAGACAAAGCCAAGTTGTTTACAAGCTACATGGGCATTTATATCATTAAATCCATCATCGCAAATAGCTCCCCAACGCTTGTTGTGAAATATTTCAAGGCGACCAGTGCGGTTGTTACTTCCACGGACCAATCGAAGTGCGTTTTCAAGAGCTAATGCATTAAGATATTAAATTAATTAAAAAAATTATTGGTTTAAAAATTTGCATATGACCTAAATTAAATCGCTACACAGCTTCTGATAGGTGTAAAAAGCAAATATCGATCACCCTACTGCGCTGTACTTTTAATAAAGACCTCCTTCCCAAAGTTGACGACCTTTGCTATCGTTATAAATATTGTTTTATTTTAGGTTTACCTGTCTCACATAATCTTCCTGTAAACCACTGAGGGCAATTACAGTTAATTTGAAAATTATCTTTGCCTGAAATACATACTCCACCATTTAAACATGGTGATGATTCGCAGGGAACGTCTATAATTATGAAATTATATTGTAAAATTCAGGCAGTACAAGTAATTTTAAAGCAATTACATTATTTAAACCATTTAAAAAAATCCATCTCGATTACCTGTACATTCAACAGCAACATCTTGATTATGATTGCATTTCGTATAGATATTATACGGGCATTTTAAAATTGTTTGCTCATGACCGGTACAGTTTAGGCTGTCCATCAAAATTCCACCTGTAGCATCTGCGTAGCTTTTATAACTGACGTGATAACTTTTATAGGATTTAAAACCTAATTGCCTACAGATTACCAATGCACTTCCTGACGAAAAGCCTTGAATGCATATAGAATTCCATGAGCCCCCAGAATAAATTTCTACACGACCAAAAGTTGAGTAGGTTAACCTAATATCGCCATAATAGGCTCTATGGTCACAATAACGACCATAATAGCCATTCGGACACGTGCAATAAGATGTAGCAATACTGTCTACACAAGATGCGTTGGAAGAACAACGCAGAGTACCATCCCGACATTGGCCGTTCGAACAGGTAAGCGACATGATAATATCTCCTCGGTAGGTACACATTCTCTGATACCTTTGTTTGCAATCGAGTAAACTTTTTTCGTCGCCTAGACATACAAATTCGTTCAAAAATACCTCTTTGTGCTCCGTATCTCTCGAACAACAGTTAATCTTTTCCGCTTTAAGAAAACCTAGTTGCCGACATGCAACATTTGCGGCGTTCATATTAAAACGGTAGCCACAGACTGTATGCCAACTGCTTTTATGAAATATCTCCAATTGACCTGTACGATTTTCCCTCTGATAAATTAAACGTACTTCTCCTTCTCGTTCTATTTTAGGGTTTATAAACTGGGGTTACTGATATATGCAAACTTACGTTATCCAATATCTTTCCTAGAAGAAATCAGCGTATCAACCTACCGATTTGACAGTATTCTCCTTTAAATTTTATAGTACATCGGCAGGTATATGCCACTGTTGTATGATTATAGAGGCAGGTGCCATTATTTAAGCAAGGTAAAGAATAACATGGATTTTCTATATTTGTAACATTAAGAGCATTCATAGGAAATATCAGGTAATTGTTGATTTCATTAATGAATTAAACGTGAAATTCTATTCAATTCATATGAATGGGATATGCAATAAAGCGTTAAAGTAAACCAGGTTATTAATTTTTTAAGCAAATCAATAACTACATTTTTAACGAAACGTGCGTGTATAAATGATGCCATGCTTTGGTATAAATTTTACAAGTATTATACTATGAAAATCATAATTATTCACCTACTATTATCATGAATAAAACTAAAATGTGTCTTTCTGATAGAATCTATTACTTCATACTAACCCAGGTAGTATATTTAACAATCATTAGACAAATTATAACTGCTGTAATAGCAGTCGTAGACCGGATTCTAGTTCATACTGTAGCATCTTGTAATTATCAGTATAAATCATATGCTCCACCCCACTATTTAGGAAGGGCACGGCTGCTAAAGTTTCATAACTTTTCAAATCTTACATACCGCTGCAATGCAAACCAACGTCTGATTGATGCATACACGACTTAGAATTAAAGCTGAGCTGAGGACAATCGTTTATACTGGTTTCATTTCCATAGCAATTTATTTCACCTGTAAGAATGGATTTCTAAAATTTAATATTTTTTGGTGACTGTTTTAATCATGTCTGATTTAGCATAGTATGATAAACGTTCTATCAGTGCTTGCGAACATACTAATGAATGGAATGACATTATAATTTATTTTGACTTTACCTATCCAAATTTTCCCGGTTATATGAGCATACTTAGAACAGCAGTCATAAGAAAATGCGGTTTTATATCCAAGCTGTTTGCAAAGAATATTTGCTGCAGATCGACTAAATGAATATCTACTGCAAACAGTACCCCATGTTCCATTTTGGTAAATCTGTACAATACCGCTAGTCGTCTGAGTGCTGTTATCATTTATTAATCTCAGTGCACCATTTACTGCATCTATTCGGGAATTTTATTATATGAAAGTAGTTAACCATACATGAGACCCTTTACTAATTGTATTACATTTTTTGCTATCTTTAATCAATGTACGAACGTGGCTCATAGCTATATGCCGCACATTAAATTGTCAATTAGTACTTACGTATCTGTTGAACTTACGCTTTTCACAGTTTTCACCGTAATAGCCATCCCGGCAAATGCAGACATGACCATAATGTGTATCTTCGCAAGATTTAAAACTTGCATTACAAGGATGACTGAGACATGAAATACCTAAAATGCGCACAGTACAGGATTACAATGTAATGAAGCTTAACCTTTAAAATTCTGCATTACTATTTTGTATTGTAATAACTATTGTAGCTTTAGAAAAACTTATTTGGCTTCATTGCAGTACATTTTACTTAGTATCTTATACTTATAGCATGCGAATTAGTTATATCTTTCACAGCCATACAGTATACGAGTATAGTATCTATTTATAGTCACGTATGTAGGTATTAGTCGTAGCGAATGATATTATAATACCTGTATCGCAATGATATCCTGTAAAGCCAGAACTGCAAATACATTTATACTTAGGGATGGTATGCGTCTTAATACATTTGCCATTTATGCACGGATTGCTGCTGCATTTATCTAGTTCTATAAAATATGAAGGAAGTTACATATGCATTATTCGATTAATATGTAGCATAAATTGATTAGCTGGGTACTGTAATACTTAATATGAGAGTATAATCATTTTTAATGGATTTTATTATTAGTAACGTCAAAACCTTCCATATAAAAATTGTTCGGCCATCAATTCGCTATCGAATTTATCCTAAGCTGAAATATAGATACCAAGTCATATTGCTAATCACCTACCGTAACACTTAATAGATACAGCTTCATTATAGCGACAATTCGTTTGCCCCCAACTAGCATGATTACACGATGCAAGTTCAGTTTCATTACCAATGCAATCAAGATCGTCTAACCAATAGAATCCAAAATTGTTTAAATGCCAACCGTCAGCACCATACATATACGAACAACATTTAAAAGAACTTGCGCCGTCGTATCCAAGTTGTCTGCAGGCAACACTAGCAGCTATTAGAGAAAATTTGTCGTCACAAATTGCCCCCCAAACTTTTTTATGATAAATTTGTAATCTTCCTGAGTATTTATCCGGACCAGATACCAGCCGCAATGAATTTTCAAATTCTATATTGAATACAGTGATAACAAGTTACATTAATTTTCAAATATGGATTCTCCGCTCCATATAAGAAACTACTATAAACGTAGAAATAACACAATTATAATGGTATTGTAAAACGGAGAACTCTATCTTACAGTAATCTCAATATTTCATGAAACTATTATTGCTTTTCTTTAATTCACCTATTTCGCAGCGAATACCAGAATAGGGTGGTTTACATTCACACCGATAGCCTCTAATTTCATTACTATCAGGCATGCAAATACCTGAATTTAAGCAACTAGACGGCGAGCATGGATTTTCTAAAAAATTAAGTGTAATTAATAATAATTTTAAGAAGATCCAACCATGATATTAATCAGTTAATATAAATATAATGTAGATAAATTACTGTATCAAATTTGACGGAAATATCTGACTTAAAAGGAGATTACGAAAATACTTAAAGAAGATATATATACCGACATTAATATCAGGTAACGTAATTAATGATTGCAAATATTACAAAACCAATTAATAAAATCTGATAATGAATTACTGTTCCGGTATCTGTAAATGTTCGACAATGATTACCGCTGCAGCGAATACCAATGTTGTCTATAGAGGTACATGAATTTGTTACAGTACTTTTCTGAAGGCATTTATGAATGGTAGTTTCATTCGTAGAACAACTTAAATCACCTGTTAAAAATTAATAGACATTACGTAAGGCATATTTGTTTATTACAAAGTGAGCGAGAAAAAATTGGCATTCGTATGTGTGTTACAGTACTGTAGCCTATTAATAAAGATATTACCGTCATTTAAATATGTATACTACAACTTTACATGATATATCACTTACGAAGCCATTTTGTGGATGTCACATGGCCATATCTAGAGCAGCACTGGGTTAAATTTACTGATACAAAACCTAGTTGTCTGCAGATAACTCTAGCTGTAGCTATGTTAAATGCAAAATCATCGCAAATTGTCATCCATTCGCCTTTATGAAAAATTTGTACGATACCCTCCATACTTGCATTAGAGATTGTGTTAATCAATTTTATTTCTCCTTCGCTAGCATCTATATAAGAAAATGCGATAATTTTTAATTGCATAGAGGATTTAATATAATTAAAAGCACAGGTGGCAATTATATGATACTATTCGGGATTTAGTATTTGCTAAAGCTAAGAAATACTGCACTTATTGAACAATTTTTTCCGTATAATCCTTTTGGACATAAGCAAGTGTAGCCATTGAATTCGTTTTGACATGTTGCGCCAGCGGGACAAAAATTGGTAGCGCAATAATTAACTAGTAGTAATAGAGTTATAGATCATAAGAGAATGAATTGTGTAACCTCTTGTCTAATTTGCTGGTCACAGGTATCCGATTTGTAATTAAATTACATATAGTTACGAAGGAAACTTTCACGCGTATACTTACAGGTGTCACAGTTGTAACCAATGTAATTTGTAGAGGAACAATTACATTTGTAATTTGGCATTGCTCCAACATAAATACATTTGCCATGCTTGCAAGGGTTTAAAGAATTACAAGTGTAGGGTAATCCTAGCAAAAGCAATGACGACAGCTACGTTTTAATTCAGTATTAACTTTAGTGTATGAAATAATATTTAGCAGATATCTCTATTATTAATTTTCGGCCAAGAATTAATCGCGTTGGTTTGGCACCCAATATTTTCAAATTCATGCTCCAAACAGATTGTTAAAAACTTGACTACTGTAATTAATAGCGTATCGAAAAAATGCAGCAGACTTTAATAATTGGAGAATTAATTTAATAGTCCTAAAATAAGTCCTGTCAGTAGATTGGCCACAGTCTCATATCGTATTCTTCTCATAATCTAAAAGGGCAACAGAGTATGCTTAAGTGTAGCACTAATTAATGAACTGAATCTTTGGATCTTAGTAGCGCTAATACTCGTAGTACTGTATTAGAAATTACAGATAAATTGGTAAGCTCTTTAAAACAGAAGATCATAAAACGTTTTGGTCATGTACGCGTATTACGGTACATGCAAGTTTAGGTAATTGTATGGATATAAAACAATATTAGTAAAATTTGAATTATAGTTGTAGAAGTAGATCTAGATTTTAAATGGTAGATTTATCATATGCCGTATTAACTGCCATTATATAGTACATTACTAGTTGAAAAAATCTGGGTTTTACATTACCAATAGACCACTCTCTTAAGAAAAATTTAAGGGTTTAATTGGTATTTTTCAAAAATCTTTCTGAAAAAGTTACCTTCACATTGTATTGAAACTGCCTCCGTTACTCCACAGTTATTCATTCCCCAACCAGCATGATGACAATCCGATAATTTTTTGACTTTGCTACTACATTTAACGTTATCTAACCAATACACCCCATAAAAATTAATTTGGCGATATCTTCGTTGAGATTTCGTTATTACGTTTGAACAACAGAAATATGACAACGCTTTTCCGTAACCAAGTTGATTACAAGCTACATTTGCTTCCACCATGGAAAAATTATCATCACAAACTCCTCCCCATTGGCGATTATGAAAAATTTCTAATCGGCCATCGTATGGACTAGTACCGTCTTGTAAGCGTAATGAACTTTCCATGCCTAAAACATACCAGAAATCGTTATTAGCTAAAACATCATTAACTTTTTTTTATGAAAGAAACAGCGAAAAATAAGTATAGTTATCACATAGATTAACCGCTGACATTACTTTATATTATTACCGAATTCACAAAACTGCCCAGAAAATTGATGAGGGCATTTGCATCTGAAGCCAATAATATCGCTATCATCTGGAATACATTGCCCACCATGCAAGCATTGCATCTTATTAAGCTGGCATGGGGAATCTAGTACGTAAAAATATGAATGCTTTTAAATATGGGTGATTAGATGATAATTTCAACACTCATGTTAATCGGTATATGATCACAAATCTTCAAGATTCAGTTGAATATTTACGCATAGTGCTAATTGCATAACCTACGCGTATACATGAGTTCCTAAATAACGCTGAGATAATAAACTCAATTTAATTATCAAAATTTTATATTTGCTGAATAGATATTGCTGTCTCATAACAAATGTACTAAATGAAATTGGGCCTTTAGATTTGACATCGCATATTTATGGCGTCATAGTATTACAAGCTTATTAATAATAATATTCGCATAAGTAACAGCTCTTAATACCATAGCTTATCTCGGTGTTACAAAATAGTGCCTGTCGAGATATTGCGACTAATACATCAAAGCTAAAATATTAAAGGGTACAGTAATAAGTATTACACGCAATTACAGCTTCTAAACAATCTTTGCTTTTAAAATATTCCAGCAGTCTACTGATTGTTACGTTTAATCCTAAAACAGCTATTTATATAACAATATTATAGAATTTAAAATCAGCATTACTAAGGGTAATTTCTTGCGTCAATACCCAAGAAAATAATTAGGGTATAAGTATCGAGTCGTTAAGATGTCACTGGTGCAGATGATAAACACACGGAAAACTACTTTTATGTAAATGTTCATAGCTACTCTGCAATTAACCTGCTATCATATACGCATATAATGGTGGTAACGATTAAAGTGTATAGTAGGTCCCAACCCGGACCCATTATATACTTTAATATGTTAATCACTTGAATAAATAAGCTTTTCCTAGGTATAAAATAAACTAGAATAAATGATAAAATCATTAAAGAAAATTTCAGCTGTATGAGAAATTCCATTTATACCTGAACAATTAAGGGTAACTACTGAATATCGATGGCTATAAACATTCCAGAGTATTTTTGCGTTAGGACAGTCTAATAGTGATGTTTCTCCACCGCTACAATTAAAACTCAAGTATAGAATTCTACTACCACGATAGATTGTTATATTTCGCATACAATTCACACTGCCAATTGTACGAAATCCTAGTCTGCGACAGGCAACTAGGCCACTTAAAAGAGTAAAGGATTTCTCAGATCTGGATTTTAATATAGCGGCCCAAGTGCCATTGTTATATATTTGTAGTATCCCAGATGATATGCGCGTATTATTTTTCATATCAATAATGCGTAAATCGCCATTCTTTAAATTCCCTATGTTGGAAAGAGTATTCAGATTTAGTTATATTACTATTTCTCCAATAATATCAACGAAAAAACATAATGTTTGAAATACCGGTACAAGAAACAATAACTATAAACACAAGTTTCTTCAAATCGCAAATTAGAAATATATCGGATTCTAATCCTTGAGAAGATTTCCCTAAAAATAGTCATATACGCACGCAATGACTTTGTAATTATTTCACAAATTATGGTAGTTACCTCCTTGATCACACTTAGCTCCGTAATAACCAGAAGGACATAAACAGGCATAGCTACTAAAGTCGTTTACACAAGTTGCATTCGATATACATCGACTGTTGAAGCAATAATCGACTATATTATAAAAGAAGGGAATAATACAACGTGAGTTTCAAATAAGCGATATTATTGTTCTAACAGCGATCTCAGTGAAACTTTTAAAGTACTAGCAATTAAATTTGATTCTTGCAATCTTACTTTGATCACATACAGGTCCTCTAAAGCCGTCGTGACATCGACAATAATATTTCTTACTTACGTTAGTAGAAGGAATACAATCACCATTACGGCATAAGCCTGGTTGACAAGGATTATCTGTTATATTAAAGATTTAAATAGATTATAAAAGAACATACCATACCCGTGCTCCTTAGGGCAAAAAATCTCACTACTCTACTAGAAGTTGACTAAGATTAATTTTCTCAGAATATACAAACCAGTACAAAATATTCCAACAGCTTTATTTCTGGCACATTTAAAATTTATCATCGACCCCCACCCACAAATCATTAGTGATTTTTCATAACCACGACAGTACAGATCTTTCAAATAATATGCTCCAATGTAGGATCTGCCGTAATACGAACAGCATGATAGGTTCACAGATCTCTGAAAGCCTAACTGAAGGCATGCAACATCGGCTTCAACTTTTCCGAAGAGTGTATCACATATTGCCCCCCATTTCGCGTTATAGTAAATTTCTACCCTTCCATAGTTGCTACCGCCATGGGTTAAACGAATTCGTTTACCGACACCTACAATTTTGATTAAAAAAACTGATAGTGTTACATTTATCTTTAACTAAATGAGCTATAATAATTTTTTAAAGATTTTCTTTCATCAATGATGTCTATAAATTGCAACATACTTGTTTCACAATGTCTTCCTGTTTCTAATTCTCCACAAATACATTCGTACCCTTGCTTCTTTTTTAAACATGTGGCACCATTTTGACATGGATTAGAAGAGCATGTGTCAACTAGCAAAGCGACAAAGATGTATGAGCTTCTTGTTGAATCTTTCTGATATTAGATATAAATCTTATTTAAAACTATCTTCAGAAATTTTAATTAGAACTAGCTTGATTCATAATCTGTAGTGTAGTTCATTATGATGTTTCAGTAATACTGTATATCGAAAAATTTAACAACGCATCCCCTGGTACACTATTTGCGTATACATACCAGAACAAGTTACACTAACATCCAAAGTTGATTGACTTAAAGACGTACAGTCTTGCGTTGAATTCAGCTTAGATATCATGCATTCACTAATATTAGTTTCTGGGCCACGACAATGAATTAGGTATGCTGTTACATTTGCTATAGTGGCGCCAATGCCAAAATAGTTATTGGCATATTGCTTTTTGAACCCCAAATGCATTGTTTTGCAAATAATATTTGCAACGGTGGTACTGGAGTATGTTGAGCAAATAGAATTCCACTGATTGTTAAGATAAATTTGGGCGAATCCTTCGGCATGATTCCTTCCATGAAATAGCCATACCGTGCCATTTGTAAGCTCTTGTACATAATTAAAAGAAATGAAAAATGCAAATACTGTATGTTGTATGAATAGAAACGCTCATAGATACGGTTTCCCTATCCATATGGTATATTTTCTATATACGAGTATACCGTAACTAATACATAAGCATAGATCTACGCTAAAAATACTGCAGAATGATTGAATTTCTAGAAATATAGTACTTCAGTTTAAATACGGTATATTAAATCATATGACGATATTAGTACCATTACAGTACCATAATAATCTTGACAAAGAGTGCCAGTATAATTTGGAGGACACAGACATTTATAGCCATAAAACATATTCGCACATGTTGCTCCGTTGCTGCAAGGATTAGAAGCACATTCATTCCTTTCTATAAATTGCAAATATACTATACGGTTACAATCAGGTTTAACGCTATAATTAAAGTTGTATTACTTAAAATAATTGTCATAGCATCGAAGCAATTCTAATTTTAATAAATGAATGATTTATAATTCACTAAATTACAGCAAAATTCCTAATTTTACCTTACCTAAGCAAGTAATAAATAGACATTTACGTCCATTTGTACTATTCGATATATCTGCTCTTGTGCTATTACACTGCAATATCGAAGTTTCGAAGCCTGAACATGACAAGTGAGTTATTGGAGATAGTTGTATATTGATTTTAGTTATACGATGCCATGAAAATCTAACATAGCCAGCAAACCCCAGTTGCTGGCAAACGACTCGTGCTGATTTTATAACAGACAATGAGACCAATGGGCAATAATATAGCCACTGACCACCAGTAAAAATTTTAACATATCCTTTTGCTGTAGCGTTAGAAATCGAACTACTTAAAATAACATTACCAAAACTGCTCGGATCTACATCGTAAAATTTATTAAATTGAATCAAAATCTTGCAAATACCAAAGTTCAATTCTTTTTTATTAGCAATAGTATTAAAATTACCGTGCTCGCAATTTTTTCCGTAATACTCTGGCCTGCAATGGCATCTATATTCAAACCCGACAACTTCACAAGTTCCATTATTTGAGCACGGTAAATTCTGGCAGTGATTAAAAAATTGGCAGCGATTTCCAAAGTAACCTGGGAAGCACTGGCACTCTGGCTTTTGAAAATTAATATTGCCGATTTTTATGGATGACTTTATACATGTTCCATTTGCACAGGCCTTGTGACAAATATTATCTAAAGAATAAAATTAAAAACATCACTTTAATCACTTTTTATTTTTCAACTTGAGCCTAGTTAGATTAATTCAATGGATGCCAGTTAATTTTACCTCTCGAAGGGTAACAAATTACTATCTGACAACAACGCGATAGGTAGATGATAGAAGTATACTTATAATAATCTCACTGCCCTATGGAAACTCGATCTGAGATATAATTTATGCAGTATCGCTTTGCAATCATACCGCAGCAATAAATACTTCTGAAATAGTTAGGATGAGCAGAAGACGAATAAATTTACAGCGGCGATTTTTGAATTAAGTAATAGTAATCCTCTCATATTATTAGGCTCTATTTGTGACAAGTAAATAAACCCTACTGAAAGTACATAAACTACACAGTAGTGAATTACGTAGTTACCTACATGAACTCACATCGCTAAAAAATAAATATATATATTACTTCTTCATCTCATAAATGAATACAGTAGGTGTATTTAGTAACATGCATAGATAGATAGCATTTGTAATAAACTAATTTTACAGTTTATACTTGATTTCCAGTATTATTAATTACATTACATTTCGCTCAGCGAAAATTTTTAAAGTGTAATTGTAAAATCACACCTTGACAATTTATTTTTAGTAGAAATCGGCTATCTACAGATTTGCTTGCTCCATATTTTACTTGGCAGTCGGCTAACTTGCTTTCATTTCCCAAGCAATGCAATCCATTAACCCATATTTTCATGTTACAATTAGTTGGACAACATGAATACCAAGTAACAAATTTGTAGCCTAGTTGTCTGCATATAACGGTAGCTTCGGGCAAATTGGTTGTATTGGCATAGATGCCACCCCAAAATCCATGGTGATAAATCTCCACTGTTTTAAAGTTAGAACCTGCATTCTCATCTTTCAATCGAATAGCTCCTTCGGCTGGTTCAACTTTAATTATAATAGACATATAAGCATATGATGTATTTAAAACTAGTATTAAATATTTATTTTACAGTAAGTTGTAAGCTAGCAATGGTGAGCTATAGCTAAGCACGCGACGAAAATACAGAGTAACAAGATAGAAAGTTAAAAGGAATTTATAAATCTATCCCAGATTGCATCCTGTTTAAATAACAAATTTACGCAATCTTTAAACTAGATTTAGCTTTCAACAATCACACTATTAGTGTAAAAGAATTAAATTTAGTTTTATAGGGATTATGTGGTACAGTTTCACAACAAACGTATAAGATCATATACAGAAAGAGATGCGTTTAAATGAAAGCAAACCCAGATACTGCTTACAGGTTAAAGTTTAACTTTACCTATTTTAACTTCACATAATTTCCCTGTATAATCCTGTGCACAAATACAAGTTACACCGCGCACATCTTTTCGACATTTGTGATTTGTCAAGCTGCAGATACGTTGATCTGATTCTTTGCAGTTTATGTCCCCTATTTAAGATAAAAAACAGTTGTTTAGTCTCTCATGATAAGTTATACTACTGTAGAAATTAAAGCCATAAAGGTTTATTAAATTATATGTTAGTAAGTTGCATTTTTTTGTGTCCTACTACGATCGCAAATAATATTCAGTGTGTCTGATGGTAAGCATGAAGAAACGTCTCCAAAATCTCTTGTATTACATTGACCAATGGACATAGATTTCTGAAAACAGCGGTAAACAAGTAAAATTGGCGATATGTCGAAATTTGGGGAAGAGTGAAACGATGTGATAGCTCCTCTGTAACCAAGCTGCATGCATATCACATTGGAAATAAAGAATTTATCCAGATGAAATTTTGTTTCTAAACAGATCGAGCCCCAAGTATTATTAAAATAAACCAGAGGGATGCCATGATATATTCCTGATAACTGAATTTCTCCAGTTTTAACGGGACCTAAGCATAGATTTAATTTAGAAACGTTAACTTAAGCAGCAACACTATGAAATTTATTTTAAATGACGTAGTATAAAGCCTCCAACAGAATGTCGATTGCATCTTTTCTTGCAGCTACGCAAATATTTGTTTGAGCTAATAATTCTTATACATTAAGTAGGTTAATGCACTTATTACCATGCTGGCAATTATTGCCGTAGTATAAAGGAGGGCATATGCACGAATAGGCATAATTACTTAATACGCAAGTAGCATTGTTTGGACATGGGTTCGATAAGCATCCTGCCCAAGTTACTTCTGTTAAAAAGGAAATAACGATTAATATTAAATTTACCATTGCATGACGCTATTCTAGATTACAATTGTCCGAGTATTAATCTAAACTAAATTAATTACATCATGATCTGCTTAGATCTGGTATTAAAGAAAGAGTTACCACCTGTATCGCAATTTCGTCCAGTATAAGAATTTCTGCAAGAGCAAACATAATCCGTTGATTCATTTCTAACTGAGCATATCCCATTGTATAAGCAAGGATTGGAAGCACAAGGATTCTTTACTAATAAAATTAGGATAGTCTTGTAAATTATCCTATGACGGATATTGTCATTTATAAGTAAATAAGTACAACGCCACAAAACGGTTGAACAGTTTAAATTTTATAGCAATAAATAATCTAATTTACTTTTCGAATCTTCAAATTACAATTTAATAAATGCAATTATCTGTAGTCTAGCTTATTTGATTTAAATTGTAAGCTATACTATATAATGAGGCAAAATCTGCATTATCTATCTCTAAATCATATTTACTGATCGAACACTCTGCTCGTGATACTTCGCATACTTGTATAATACTTTAACTTGGTAACTGACCATACACTCGCCTAAAGTAGTTTGTTTTCTTTATATTATCGGCATTGTCATTTGCAAAGAAACTTCAACGTGCAAAATTACAATTATAGCTAGAGTAAAGAGCACGCCTTTCGATCCTTAGATACCTGTATTACGAAAATCTATGCATTATCATTTATAAATGTGCCTAAGTAGTAAAAGGTCCCTTTAATACTTCTTTTAGAATACAATCCCTATCAATTACTGAAGATCGTATCTTCAAGAACGTCGTTTGTAGGAGACCAATTTTCTCAACGGTCCAGTGACATAAGTAATTTACGATTTTATTTTTTCTGTTATAAGTAAATTTATTTATTCTATAAAGTAGTGAGTTCTGAAGTATTGTATTCAGAAGATTTTTCAGATATCTAGTTATTTTGTTAACATTCATTTACGATATAAAGGACTGAATTATGCAATTACTATCGTATTATATATCTTCACAAATTAATGTATAATTAAAATTGCACAATCCCTTTCCATTTGATATGTAATCTTACAATGACTAGTATCTAGTATAGTAGTGAACAGTCTAAATCTACTCATTGCCTGAAAGAGATAGGCAGGATAAATTAAATCATTATTCTATACATTTTGTTTATCAAACCTAGTCTAGAAACTACTTTCCTGTAATACTTTCAGATTTACTAGAACAGTCGCTCTTAGTAAACCAAGAAATTAAAAAAAATTTTCTATGTCATTTACCTTCAATTTCGCAAGCTTTACCCGTCCATCGACTCTTACAAAGGCAATTAAAGCCATTTTTATTATTACTAACCGTGCAAATACCATTTACACAAGGGTTACTTGCACAGGGTTGGAAGCAGCGAGTAACTATGACCATGAAATAAAATACGAAGCTTTAGCAATCTGCCAGTGTATTAAATATCTCACGAAAAAAATAGATATGTCGAACTTCTAAATTTAACACTATCTTCAAGATTAAGATAAGTTTTTAAGAAATTGTGATTATTGCATATACGAATATAATTATACGTGACGGTAGGATCGGACAGCTAGAATATTAATATTTTAAAGAATCGTATCTATTATGAAAGATTCTTAGCTGATTAACCTAGAATTTAAATTTGTACTAAAGGTTTTAAATTAGTATTAATTATGTTATCAGCGGCTACTGTAGTTATTATTAACAGTACAAAATCGTTTGCTTTTGATCTATTATTTAAACCAAATAATATTTGATCAAGGACTTCCGACAAAAATCCCTGATTTAATAATAGGGGTGTGATCAATTGTAGGTAAGTAACATACCGAATTCGCAAAAACTGCTTTCATGCGAAAATCGATAATTATAATCAGTATTAAAAGGGGTACTGTACTTTATAAACGACTACAATTATTTGCTACTACTCTTTACTGCTATGATGTACCAGATATATTGCAGTATGTTCAGCCTTATAGTTGCACTCAACAAGTAACTTCTATTCCATAAGTACAAAACCCAATTAATTACTGATCATATCTGAGTTGCTGCAGCCATTACGGTACTTAGTGCTCTTCAGCTATGATCATATTAATTCGTGATAGCTGCATCCCTCTATTTCCTAAAAACAACATTGTGGATGTGTCTGATTATTAAATCTAGTTTAGGTAGGACTTTAAACTCTTCTTTCTGTGTACCCGTAGACAATATCATTTGCCAGCAATAAGATTTGAATAAGTATAGAAACAGCCACGGTGAAAGTATAGTAATTTACCATTGTGACATTCAGAATTGATCGTAGTTTCATTGCATTGGCATAAATAAGATGATACAAGCTTGTTTAGTAGAGTATCACGAAAGCGATATGAAATACATTTCCCATAATGGCATGGATTACTGTGGCAAGGATTTAATGGATAAGGAACCGCTAGAGAGTTTATGCAATAAATAACAGATTTAATGGTAAGTTATCAGAAACATCTAGCTACACTTGCCGAACAAGAAATTTACAATAGTTTAAGCTTAAATCTATTTCACTTACCATGCTGACATCGATCTCCGAAATATCCATCGTAGCATACACATATCTCAGTACGACCTTTTAAATAACACAATCCAGCATCGCATCTATTACGTTGACATACTTTTAGATCGCCTAAAATGCGAAAAGAAAGTTTCTATAATGATGCTTGTAACTGCGTAGGATAGTAATCAAGTATATTAAAGGAACGAATCAATTTGCTATAGTACTAAATATCATGCTTAAATCTTCACTTTCACATGCAGTTAGCTATTCGGACCTGAAAAATCCTTACAAATTTATAGCAGAAACCGTAGAACTGAACGACTTACCATTTTTAAATTGTTCATTTAGAGCCCCTAATATATTTATTATCTATTATCAATTATAACATAGGTATAGTAATTATATAATCAGAATTGTTGAAGAAACAAAGTATTAAATTAGTAACTAACAGGAGCACTTCATCTGCAATCATTAAACTAGCGGCATTTACTGCAACTGTTACTATATTTTGTAAGTGATCCTTTGCTAGTTACATTTGCTGACAGAATAAAAATTTTTCAAAAATTAAAGTTAATCGCTTCTAATGAGAATTTTTAACAAGTTAACAATCAAAAATTTCTGTTCATGTATTTCTTTCTAAACTAACAAACATTTTGCTATTTAAATTCATTACTGTACAACGATTATCATAATTCCCAATATTACAGTAAAATTAGATCAGAAACTAATATAACTTTTTCTGAAGTGTTCTCAATCATATCAAACGGCTATGATACTCTAAAGTAACAGGAAGAGTTTAAAATGATTTACGGATTAAATAGATTAGATTTTTTTACTACTTTAGTCATTACATTATAGCTTTGCTAGAGTGAAATTTTTGACTAGCACTAAAAATCGCATTCAAACTTTGAAAGTTATTTCTATTTTACAGGTAGCATCACTACAACAGGATCAGAAAAATATTATTCTCATCTCTTACAGTTAGCAATAGCAGCAAATACGAAAGAAATGAATTCATTTCACCAAATACGGCAATGTGGTAGGTTTTTCAATGAAGTAAACATAAGTACTAGGTTTTTTCGCTAATTTCACACTAAAATGTTACTGAAGAAGTTAGTAGATACGATTTAGGCAATATTCAAAATACAGAAAACTATGAGTCATCAAGAGTTGTGTATCTTATATACGTCAAAATACTCTACCATGATGAAACTAGACTATATAACTATTTGTTGATGGGTTTTTACTTAGGTAAAATAAATAATCAATTTTAGAATTATTTAAAAAGTTTTTGTTGTTGACGTAAGAGCCATTCAATCAAGAAATTGTAGAACTACATAAAAATCACTTTAAAATGTTAGTGTGAGGCAAAAATATGATGCGTTCGGCTGTACGAGTATACTATGGAATTGTGTGTTTGATAATTTAATGATTGATAATTAGTTTAGAGATTCCGTAGAATCAACGCACTCGGGCTCGTTTACATCTTCAAATTTTATTTTAGCAACGTAATTTTTATTTGCTAGGGCCATAATTCTATAAACAGAAATTTATAGCACTAAGCAAAAGCTGGTAGCCATCTACCCGTGATTTCGTTAAGCCAACTGCAAGAATTAGGGTTATGTATTTAGTTTTACTGTAGTTTTAGATATATTTTTAAATATAGACATTTTATTATGTTCTGAACATAAATACCTCTACAGTCTATTTCAACTATGCTCAAATATAGCTTGTCATGTTTAGTTATTTATGGCACCTACAGTCTTCGCTTTTTGCTACAATCATTTACTATTATATAGCCTGTTTATGGTATATAATGTATCTAATTTTACAAAATTGTTCTCTGCATGTGTTCTCTCTCTCTAAAATTATAAATACTGACCATTTCTACCTCAGATTTGTCAGTCGCACTTGTTAGTGTTAGTATCTACACACGTTACTTCACAACAGCTTACACTCTGATCTACCAGCAACTACTACTCTGTACCTAGTTATTCTCTACAATAAATATCTCTTTTTTTAATAGCCCCTCGCATCATTATTGTGAAATGCTTAAGAAGTCCCCGTCCGCAGACTCTTCGAACTCTCCATCACAATAAGCATGAATTTCCAAAATTGATTAGAGATGTACGCCTATTCAAGATATGTTCTACAAAATACCGTTGCATTATTATAATTTTTACCCTGTTAATCACGACCAAGGCCACGTACAGTATTCGCACAACGTTTGGAAACTCATATAGAATGCTTGCCTTTCATTAATTACTAATTAATCGTAGTTAAAAATAGCTCGGTGAATTTCAATTATTAGGTTAGAATCCGGTCAAGCCTTTTAAACTTTTTAGCCAGTGATTCAACGCTAATTTACATAGGAGAATATCATTTCGTTAACCATGCAAAATTATCTACCTTTATGTTAAGTCAATGGCAAATACAATCATCTTTATGCCTTCGGCCTATAAAATATCCTGCGTATTTCGACAAATCATTACGTCATCTACAATTAATGAGCCTGTAAATCATTTTTAGCTTTAAAATTTTCGTATAATTATTGATTTAGACAATTTATAATTACGTAATCACTAGTTGGATGCTGCATATAATTCGCTTCTTATCGGCATAATATATAATTCAAATTGATTACTTGATTAAAATACCGAGCGTGTATAGTTTACGTGTAGGGCTCAGTTATAGACTTTTAGATACGGATAGCTGAGTATTGAGGTCTATGATTCAGGTATGGCCACAGTTGTGGCCATAGATTTAATGATTTAATTATGTCTGAATACGAGCATTTCAGAAGTCCAGTATAAATACAAGTTAACTTTACGCAATTATATCAGTCATGTAATTTGATATAATAATCTAAAATACTTAATATGTTTAAAGTGACAAATTAACTTTACAGTTAAACTTGAAAATTACTGCAATAATAGCCTATATCAAAACATCTTAAAACGTAACTAATTATTGTTTGCATCAAAATGATGTGCCGTTAAATTCTAGTCAATCAGTAAATAATAAATGCCGCAATCTCAATTATATATTTCACAAACTTCAATTCATGTAAGCTGTATTGGTTCAGTAATTCTATTTTTACTGTAGCTTTAGAAAAATAATTTATTTGGTTGATAACAGAACCTAGTATATTTTACTTATATAAGATCTGCTTTAAGATTGTTGGTCGATCTTAGTGGACTTTTGTAGTTATACTATAAGTGCTGTAGAAGATAAAATTTAAAGCTAAACCATGATTACTATAATTTAGTACTCTCGGAAATCCAAGCTAATTAGCACTTTAAAGCAATTTATTAAAGAATTCAATGTAAATACAGATCGCAATATTCGGTACGTTAGTCGTTCAATAAATTTTTTAATAAGTGAAGCGCATATTCTTGTACATTTGTTAGTATAACTTGATAAAACTCTTGATAATATAATACACAACATTTGACTGATCTGTATACCTTTTAATTCAACGCTTTAAAATCATGAAACTTTGCTAATAATAAAGCTTTTGCTTCCCTTCAAGATCTATTAGTGCATAAAATTGCAACGTGCTAATTTAAAATTAAATGGAATAAGCTCCGTAATTACAATACGAAGTATAGATGCTGTCCTGAATTCTAATATTGCATATTCATTAACAATTAAATTTATAATATTATAACAAAGCATGGATGAATTTAAACCGACATACCTGGCCTTCGATCACATTAGATATACCATCCTACATTTACCCTCACATCGCAATGGTACTGTACTTAGTAGAGCAATATTTTAAACTATTTTTATCACCCTTACGCGTACATTCTTCAGAATAAAGTTGAGGACAATATTATTTATCAATGTACTATATTAGGGCACATTCATGTGCAGAATGTTTTTAGATATTTATCGTGTAACCTTAATTGCTAACGTTTCAAAGCTGGCAAGATTTATATTTTAAGTAAAGCTAGCTATTTCTAACTGACCCATAACCCTGACATAAAGTTAAAGTTAAAATTCACGATTAATAGCAATGACTTGTTATGGCTATTATCACATGCAATTGCCAGTATTTTTCTGGGAGGGACGTAACAGAATGTTACCGTAAAGCCAGTAATTTTTACCATCTGAAAATCTCCAACCATTTTAATATATACGTACGGTACTAGTAAACGAATTAATCTGCAGGCTACTGTATTCATTTTAGGAAATTTTACGGTAGTAGTTTTAATAAGACATCCAGCTGTTAAGCTAATGAGCATGTGTAGTAAAACAAAAGTTTGCGCCATTTTTAGGCGCATGTTTCAACCTCAAGTGTATGTCAATTATTCATGTCTTGTCTTAGCATGGTAGCATATGAATATGAAGATAGACATGATTGATCTCCACTAAAGTAAGAGTATACATTATTACACAAATTCATCTTACTGATTAGTAAAAATACCTAGCTAATCAACCGATTCATAAATTATTCGATGAACTCTTTTACTATACAAAATACAAAATACGTTGTTATTAATAATTAACGATAACGCTTTGAGGACGAATTGAAGAATCGACCACGGTACAGACACAGACCGTACAGTACAGTTATTCTTTTACTGAACTATCCTTCTCTTTAAAAGAGATCTTGCCCATATTCAGCTACCTTGGCTTAATCCTATTAGTTTATGACTTATAGTTTCTTTAATGGAATACAAATATTTGTGCTCGATTAGAAGAAATGTAGATAGTATTTGAATACAAGATAATCTATACGTATCGTCGTAGAGATGTCTTTGATCTAGTAAGAGGTGTGCATATAGTAAAATGCTGCCGAAGTTAATGCTTCACTGTGGAATTTAGTTACAGCCTACTACCGTGATTATGCTTTAAAAAAAATAGTTATCGATGTATTTCTTAATGCAATAAAATAGTGTAGCCTAGGCTAGCTAGCTAATACTGCCACTTATAACATAAACAAGACTAAAATTTTATCAGTGTGCTCCCTGTGACAACAATAATGTCATGATAATTTAGATAGTGCCAAGCATTCTTGTCGTGCGTGACTCGTGAGAAAAGATCTAATTAAACGCAGATGTAGACGCTTAATATTTAAATCTTATAATTTGTTACCTTGGTGATGCCAAGCCTAATTCCTTTACTTTTATTGTTTGTCCTTTATTTACATTACAATGGCATCGGATTTGAAGGCATTAAGCTTAATTACTGGGAAATGATATTACCACCTGTTGAAATCTTAAAGTTCAACAAAGGAATCATATAGTTCCAATACAAATTTTTACCACAGAAATTGACCATAAAATGTAATCAACATGCGGCATTCATCGCTATCTTCAGAATCATTTTTCACTGTATTAATAAATTATTTGGAACGCTTACGCAAAACTTTAAATTATTTATCAGTGGGCTGTTGTAATATAAATTGAAAATATTCGTATTCTAAGCAGATCCGGTTGAGAATTATAACCAAAAGGAAAGAGCAATTTCATACGTGTTGCTTCAGTAGATGCGATGAGAGAGTGTTACCGATAGCTCTCGATGTGAATTTAAGAAGTCAGTTTCTCAGTACTGATTAGGCTGAGAAATGAAATGGCAAATTTTCAAAATAAATTATAATTATAATCGAAGGAAAATAAATTGTAATATAGAATATTAAATTTTACAATCCTCACTTAGGGACAAAGTTATACATGTGAGCTAGTATTACTTTATTGCCAAATCGTAATGCATAGCAAATATTTTTATAGTTGTATCCTTTCAGTAATAATAATGTATCATCTATAATGTTGAATAAATGCAATTAAAATGTTTCATAACAAATATTCAAGCATTCCTAAATAATATAGATGGGAAAGAACAAGATAACTCTTTATTCGCTAAGTGCTGGCATGGACTGTGGGGAGGAGCTTGTCCTAACTATAACAATGAATAGACTTACAAAATTCTTTTAAACAATAGTTTGAAATAATTTATATTTTAAACTTGAAATGAATTTCTGCCAGGAGTTACCATTTAAACGATCAAACGACTTACCAACGCATCATTCTTTAAGTATTATGACACAGTTGTATCTGTAATTAATCTAACTGTTATTTGTTATCACTGATAGCAATCTAGCAGCGCTCTAGACCAGGCTAGAAATACTTATGTTATTGCCTTATTTATCTGATTTGGCTTAGTCTAGAATACACAATTGCTGATGTGTTAGTAGTATTTGAGATAACTCAACGTACTTTAATTGCTAGTATCCAAAGAGAAAGTCACTGTCGCTTAAATTATAAACACGGATTTTGAATCGCAATAAGAATATGAATCGATACCTACTTTTAACTCTGTTGTCGTGCTTATTCGTTATGGTGGTGCCCAACGATATCGATATTAGAAAAGGTGAGGAATAAATTTTGATATGAATATTTCTAAGTAATGTTTAAGTGAAAAGTACCTGTAAAAATTTAATTCATTTGGACTACTGAAATTCATACAGTATATTTGAATTCCATATACGTGTAGCCGTAAAGACAAAATTGAAATAGAGTTATATTATTAAACTTTATGGTTATATATTTTATCTACATAAACAGTACATAAAAAATGTCTTCTTATGACGATTTTAGCTAATTTCAAAGATGTTATTGAAATTTTTATGTTGGACAGATGTATTAACGTCTGGTGTTATATACTTACAGCCAACACAACTTTAATCACTAATGATAATAATGATTTCTGTAATGACAGGGGCAATGTTGAAAATAACGGAAACTAAAATTATCAATTCAACGACAGTTATCTTAGAATGGCGGTTAAATATAACTAAAGAAGCAAAGTACAAAATTGCAAAATTTATAATTATGATTCGCCAATCACATTCGTCGTCTGCTAGAAATACAGTGTTGCCGGGATCCAAGAGAAGCTATGTTGTCACTAGTCTCAAGCCCCGCACCAAATATACTATTTCGGTAATAGCCTACGATTTTGCACTTCGTCGTAAACTAACGGTTAAGGTGACTACTAAAATGCCATCTCAAGGTATGAATAGATGGACTAATTGTCCTACTAACCGCTCTGTATTGTTGTTTTCACTTCGTACTGCATGCCATGCAGTTGCTGTCAAATTGCATTATATAATGCCTAACTGTATACGAAATGTATGAAAATCATTACAGAACGAACCCAAAACATGAAAAATATTAGGATATCATTCAAAAATAGAACATCTATGGAAATTAGATGGAAGTTTTTTAATAATCCATCAACAAGCAAGCAATCTATTTACAGAATTGAATGGTATTTAGTCTCAAATTTAATGAAAATAGGAGAAGTTAAAGTAAAGAAAATCCAGGTAGAACAAAGATTATCTCATAAAGTAGCAGCTCTAAAGTATAACTAAGTAAAGCATTAGCTGTTCTTATTTTCATCAAGAAGCTATACAATAATAATGAAATTGAAAAAAAATATTCATTTCGACGAATTTTAAAATTTTTTAGAAATACCTTATTTCCAATTTAAAAGCAAGTTCCAGCTATCTGATTCACGTAACATCATTAAATGCAACTGCTGATAATCCACGCTTAACAATTGTGGGTACCACAGCAAGTTTGAGTACGTTAAACATGGAATTTAATATGCGAAATCTTGTAAATTCTATTCTCTAACATCCCAGTAGTAAAAGTATTAATCGTTATAGTTCCAGGTAAACCCAATATGACACTAGAAGTATATGGCCAATCAAGTATTATTGTCCGCTGGCAATCGCCTAAAAATGTTCATGTAGATACCGTAACAAAATATCAAATTTCCATCCTGTACAACAATACAGGAAATGTTTACCACTTGCCGCCAGATTTTAAGTTCCATTACTTTTCAAGTCTAGGTAAGTATAACACGTACTGCACACGATAGTTGTGAATGTCTAATTCTTTAACAGGGAATATTTGAATTTGGTAAGGTAGCATTGATGCTAAACATTTACGCTAACTTACAAATAGCATCCTGATCATATCGTATGATTACAGGTAAAAGTGGCAAGTATACGATAAAACTAGCTGCTAAAACAAGTGCGGGATGGGGAAAGTCAGCAAGTCAAGAAGTTTTTATCAATGTATCAACTTCTAACAAGGAAACTACTCCAATTAATCCGATAGGTATTGTGAATATTTCAGCTCATAGCTACATCACATTTTAGAGATTAAATATCAACATCAATGGCAAATATCCACTGTAGAAAAACAAAACATTAAAGCAACAAGCATTAAAACCGCTACTACTACAACTACTGCATTACTGCCAACGAAACAGTCTCAACGTTCGACAACCATAGCTAAAAACAGCGATGATCAAGCGAGTAAGTTATAGCTATTACATACCTTGTTTTGTGCAATTTTCGAAAGTATGGATCAATGTAAAGTAATAGTATCTTTGAACGAAAATTGTATAGATACTTAATATATTTTTTGTGAATATTGCAGCATATAACCAATTTAACCTTAGCATCGATAACATTATGCCAAATTCTATAATCTTGAATTGGAGATATCCAAATCTATCTTCAGGAAGCAAATTTGATCATTATGAGGTAGGACTGTATATTAATTAATGCAATATAATATATAGCAGATAAATTGTAAAATATTTATTGAGCATATTTTACCTGTAACTTGCCGCTTTAATTTATAGATTTCGTTGGCAGCATCTAGTAAAGATGCAAACAGTAATTTACGCAAGCAATCAATTCGCAAACTTCTCATGGTTAACATAACCTCCTGCAGAATTACCAAATTGCTGCCTTTTACTACTTATCACGGTCACATTGCTGTAATCATGAATGACAGTAGGATACTACAAAGCGATATCCAGTTTACTACCGAAAAATTGGGTAAATATATTTCAATTGATAAGTGATTTATGTCAAGAAATTACTTCAAGAAGCTTCCGTAAGTTACCGTATTTTTTACATTAACGCCGACATACCGCTTATTTAGCGCCGGTTGCTGTAGAAAAAATTCATGTTTTGAAATTAAAGTTCTTACCGAATCAGAATCAATCGTATCAGGTACTAGTGCAAATACCTAAAGTTTCGGAAGCTTATGGTCCAATTAGGTAACTCTAGTACAATAACTTGTTATTGCGAATTCAAAAATTACTCAACCATTTTCAACATGATAAATTGAGCTCACTGAAAAGGTATCGAATTTATGTTAACAATTTTATGCTTAACTTTTTCCTAGCTACTATGATTTAATTATCATAAAATTGATTGTAGTTGGCCGTGATAAAAAATTATTGCCAGTCTATAATCTCGAGGATTTAAATCCTCAGTTTTTAAATCGACTCCTGGGCATTCAGTTTCGCCACATCGACCTGCCAGCATATGTAACAGCAAGATTTTCGCCTCAAGAACTACCAATAAATTTTACTATTGGCGATAATACGACGTCAAATAGTATCTACAATCGTCCTTTGTTATCTAATATAAAATATGCAGCAATACTAAGAGCTTATGTAAAAACAAATCAAGTCAAAGTAAGTTCTGATGTAGTACATGAATATTTTTTGATAATTATTGTAGCTAGTAATTTCTAAATTATGCAGTCATCCACAATTATCATCGAAGTAATTACTAGATATCATTATCTTTTAGCTCCTAATGTTATTTTATTTCTATATAATATAGGATTCGTTACTTTATACGTCCAGTCATATGGTACAGTTGCCAGGTAACTACACTTAGCGATTAGAATTATGCTTACATCTTGCTATTTTTCAATACGAATTCATACTTACCAGAACTATCAGCTAAATTCCGGTTCTAATGAATAAGAATTAATGGATCTATATTGAACTTAGGTATCGAGGATAGTCTGGAACTTGAACTTCAGGTCATAATTTCACTTCCAATAATCATTATAGCTGGAAGTGCCCTTCTAACAGTTGTATTGATAGTTCTCGTCGCGGTTATAGTCAGGTAAGATGCAACTCAAATTCATAACATTTTAGGAATGAAATCAATCTCAGTCAAAATTTGCTTATCCTAGTTTAATGGACAATTAAATTCTAACAATTCACCTAAGAATGAACTCTGTCTACGTGACAGAAAGTATCATAATTATAAATAAATTTCCAAAAATCTTTGCTATTGTTTCCAGAAAATTCTACAAGAATAAGCATCCTGTCGCTGTTCGGCGCATTCATAACAAAACATCTTCGCAGAGAAATTTGAAAACCATAGTTAAATATCCAGGTTAGTCTTATTTGATATCAACCACATTATTGAATTGTCATATAGCATGCTTGTTGGGAATAAGGTTCTGATGCATAGTTTTCTTTCTGCAAATGGACTTTTAAAATTGTTTAACAGTTAAAGCTAATATCCAATCAGACTATACTAAAACGGAGGACAAGAACGACAAAACTAATAAGACATTGTTCGAGAATACGATCAGAAACCCTAAAACTGAAAATAAGCCAGCCAATAGCTGCAATATCGAATCTGATATGGTAAAAACTATTGCTGTAACGAAAAATAATTCAGTTCTTTGAAGAATTATCGTACGCAGTCGCCATCATAGAATCAGAAGGATTTAATAGTCCTATCTGTTATCACAGATATTACAGTAATTTTCTGTTAATTAATATGATATAGGGCAATAATGAAGCACAATTGCGTCCTCATAATTGTTCGGTTCATTATCCTAACTCAATATCGATTGATCAAACTCGAGAATCGTCCCAAGAAAAGCCTTCACAAGATTCCGAACCTCAATTGCGCATCATAACTTGTAAATATCCAACTGACGAAAAGGTAAGAATTGCAAGCGAAATGACTTAATAAATCCTTGCAACTAGCGTGCGAATCAATTGCAGTTAAAGAATTTCACAGGGCTTAATTTAAATTCAGTACACCAATTATATTATTTTCTGAGAAGTTTTTTTAATAATCCTCTTATGCTGAATCGTTTGCTGACATTATTAATAAATTGCCTCATATAATAAAACTTGCCAGATTCCCAGTAACACTTTCGATCAAGATCATGAATCAGGTTATGTTGGACTAGATTATGACGACAGTATGTGTCATAGCTGTTCACACATCGATATTGGCAACGGTTAGTCAGCATAAATATGAGCAAAATTTAATTAATGAAATGTTAACGTCGACGATTGATGTTTTCCGTTCAGTCTGAGTGTGGTTAAATTATACATTACTCTAATTAAAATAGAAGTGATAAAATTTATTACTAATACAACTATTCTACGTTCAAACGCATGCAGACGAACAAGAAGAAACCGATAGCTTAAAATATCAATACCAAGTTAAAGATGATGTTCGTGATTCTATTTCATTATATCAAATGAGACGCCAACTATCACAACACGACCGAAGCAGCTTTTGGATTTAATGGAAATTGTTGTATCAAAAGATCATAGCGGAATATTATTTCTTCTTACTTATTTAAATCCTCTGAACTATTGATCAACCATATAAAAGGGCCATCGTAGCATGTAAAATTAAAAAAAAGTGGCAAATGTACATAGGGAGCGAACTGAACATTCCCAGATCAAAAACTCCAATCGCGTCTTGCTTTATACAAAATCGTTGGTAATATACCGCGCTTTCCATATACTGTTACTACAGTAACTTAATCGGCGCGGTTTTTTATCTTAAGTACATAAAAAGCACATACGCAGATGCTATAACATGTTCAAGTGATAATTATTTAAATTATTTTTTTAATCAAATGACCGAAAAATCATTTGAGTGCTTTATTTAAAGCATTTTATTAAATCCTATCAATTTAAGAAGTAGTACAAGCCCATAGGCCGTGCTCCTGTTAAGTTAATATCAGTATTAACCATTGTTTCTCCAAAATATGGCAAACACTATTTATGCAATATTAATTATAGCTTCTTATTATTTAACATGAACAAACTACAATATGCTGACTTACTTTTAATATTTTAACAAATTTGGAACTACTATATCTGCTATTACTCAAGTGCCTACTTAATATATTAATAAAGCTGATTAAAATTTTTTTAATTTTTAATTATTTCTATTTAAGCAAATATAGTTGACTCTAATAACGACGTTACCTTGCTATTATTATCATCATCAGCAAATGTTATATCGTAACTATCTGTAAATTAATATCCAATCGGAAAACAGCAGATTGAAAGTTCGCGATGCAGCTTTGTATCGTTCGATGTAGATTTCATAACAAGAATTAGGCTTCAATTCATTGTTGCATACTCTTTTACAAATAGTCTGCTTATAATCGGTAAAGATTTTAAATAGCTATACATAGAGAAAAATAGCTAGTTATAAGGCTAGCAGAAGTTAATAGAGATATAGCTAATAAGTTTAACAAAGACATTGACAAATGTTTTGGTTACATCATATCTAAATTGCTATTGATATGTGTATTGTCCTAATTTTAACCTCCCAGCTCTGGTTTGTAGATTGTAATAATACTATACAAGTGAATATAGGATAACACACAACATAATCTTGTGAACGAAAAGCAATTTATTAATCATATGCGCAATCTAAGGATTCCAAGAAATCATTACCACGTTATTTGATTAACTTATAGAAAATAGAATATGCTATAAAAGTTCATTGTGTATCCTGAAGAACATCGCTTTGCATAACTATAATAGAAAACAGCGTGATATTTATTCTCCACACCGTTTTTAAGCTCTCACTTCGGGCTACTATAAGTAAAAATTTAGAATAATCCATATGGTCAAAAATTTTACTGTTAGTCAAGACTACAGTATACTTTCGACCATCACATTAAGAATCGCGCTTTTATTTGTAACTGCCTGTAAGAAATTTTTCGGCCCGTCAGGAACCAGTACATATCTAATTGTTATAAAAATTGTTTTAATAACAGTATCGATGTACAGCAACAAAGCTCTAATCTAGGTTTTAGCGGCATCATTTGTCGTTATAGGCAAACAAGTTTTGTACATAGGTCTTTGTCAGCTCCACCTTGCCTTTTCAAATGCGGAAGGAGCATACTGCTTCTTCATCTTCCTTTTTAATTATTTGATTTTAACCATTTCTGAAAGCAAGTCTATCCTTGACTGAAGTAAAAAAGACATTGCAGCACCCATTTTGAGTAGAAGAAATCGTGGTTCAATACGTAATATAAAATAGTCTAATTTCAGTTAAGTGTCTGCGTTTACCAATTAATCTTAAATTTTTAATTAAAACAGAATTATTCAGAATTATTCTGGAAAGTACTATCATATTAATAAAGTGTAGCATATAATGTAACCGAAGAAGGACTACCGTAATAAACATTTCAATTAATAGTGATTAGTATAACACATGAAAGTTAACAGAATGATTACGTGCGGTCAATTTAGCAAGCCTTTTAGATGTACGCTATTGTTTCTAGTATGCATCATCTATATTGTAACAAAGAAAGAAATTGATGACGATGTAGTACTTCCCAAACTGCTATATATTTACTGCCTAGTTCTATAGAGTAGATTTCTACGTCATTTAGCCCCAGTTTGATATACTGTATATCATCGAAAGTAGCCTATAGCATAATGTAATGTTGACAATTTTAGTGGGCCAAGAATTGTTGTATCTCCATTAATTATTCAAATTAAATTGTAACAAATAAACGGCATAATAGCTTTTGTTACAATACCAACGCCAATGGACCGCGTAGTCACTTTATTGCCTGATTGTATTTAATTTCTTGCTGAAAGCATTTGATTGACAGGTATAGCCCCCTTTTTGCTTAGTAATTATGTGGTTGTACTGTTTGTATAGAGTTACAAATATTGCCTTAAAAACATAAAGTACAATTAACAGCAACTTTTGCAAGACATTGAGGCTAAAAGAATTGATCAGTAAATGAAAACAATTTTCGAAATTATGTGTCTACTTCATATTTATGTAGAATGAAAATATTCTAACATCGCGTAGGTGTAGAAAAAATATTGTAGTTTAGAATAATCCTATCGATGCCAAGTTATAAATCTTGTACGAACATTTAATCTGCACAAACGATCAGTGATCACATTTGACAATACAATATTTACGGTTAATCTGAGTGAATAATTAGACAAGAGAATCAACAAATACTCCCAGCAATGATCAATAGGAATATCCAATAAGGATTACAGCATAGAAACCATTAGTCACCATTACCATCATGATGTTTTTCTATAAAAGATCTTTCATGCTATTTGATGACTGAGGCATCGTTACCGTATTTGTCTAACCTTATATTAAATATGGTAATCAATTAGTAATAGCCTTAAAGTAGGCAAGACATTACTAATCAATATTCAAAAGTATACCGGAATGACACATTGGTAACATACAATAAGCTTGAATTTAACAGCTTGAAACACCACCTGGCTATTTATGTTATACAAATTAATAGTTAAGTCACTAAAAATACTTTTAATCAAATTGGTTCTCAGCTTGTACGCAGATAGGAAATAATTTCGATGGAAAATAGAATACGAATTCGATAATAAGGCAATGGTAATCATACAATTTTTATCGTGATGATAGCCAACCAACCGAAAAATAATCTTCATGTCGTAACTATGGCATGGATTTTACTATTCCTATTAACAACTTGCACAGCGGCGGCAGCGGCTCAAGGTAGGGATTAAAAACCGTAGGTTCAAAACCCTTTTACTGCAAATATTCAGTTCCAGATACAAAATTATTGCTTTTATTTCCATGCTCGGGTAAATATAAAGAATTTTTTTAATTCTACAGCTGAGAGCACCATACTTACTCTAATTCTAGTATATTACTTTTATTGATAAAATCTTCCAAAACTTTAAAATTTTACTATTAAATCCTGATATAACTACAATTTTAAGTTAATTGCGGCTAAAATGAATTTCAAAAAAATTTAATAATTTTGCACCTACCATAAGGAATTACCTTAATCTAACAATATAAAGTTCAAACTTTTTCGTTTTTGTTAAAAAAATTGCTTTTAGTGCTTTCCAGACTGGTAAATCCATGACTTCGATTAACGAAACATTGCGCATAGTTTATAATCAGACTACTTATGACATACTGATATACTGATTATATCCACCCTACTACATAGTGACAGCGTGAAATAAACTTAAATTACACAACAAGCTTTTTAGCCCACAGCTTTCCTTAGATAAGTAAATCTATGTTGGTGATAATTAAAATATTTTATTAGCTCTAAATTTGAGCTTGTAGTTTTTACAACGCTGACTCCCAAACATTAAATTCAAAATTAATCTCGCCACAATATATGAGCAAAATAGGCCATTAGGCTATCACTGAATGTATTCGCAGTCAAAACCACTTCGATATTTACTGTTATAATATTCTAAGAATTTTGTATCTACGTAGATATTTGTTCTCTTACTATATATGTAGTCTTTATTTCGATTTTCACTTCAAAAAAATAGTGCCAAGAAAAGCCAGCTCATGAGATAAAATATAATAACGGCCGGTACCTTCACGCTGCGTTTACCGATTTGATTTTAAACTGCTAAAACAATTTTATAGTATAAGAAGATAAAAATTACCCGAAACCATATACTAATTTTTTAGCTTACATATTATAATCACTTAATTAGAATAGGTCTAATTTCATTATTTGCAGTTAGAGAAACTACTTGAGGGAAGAAAATTAGTAAATTTTATGATATAGTCTACTGTATGCGATAGTATTTGTTTTAGCTTCATAATAGTCCATTGCCGTAGTTTATATAAATAGTGCGTTAGCTATGCTGCTGCTTAGTAGCCTGTCAACTGATTAGAAATAAACTTGCAAATTTATTTGTCATAAATAAATGAGAGTGATAAAAGATGCACGGTTGTTATTTCGGTGGAAAAAAGTGAATTTGATATGTAATGTGCTGAATTAATAGTAGTTTAATTTTGCAATTGCCACACGTTTTGAGGTAGTAAGTCATCGTTAAATTTTACGTAAAACGACACATGTTGTCGTGTATTAAAAATACTATACTAAATCTTACTAATTTTAGGGTTAAATTTTTTATGTTAAGTTGCAATAATTTACACCCTTGTAAATGTTAATATGAATCATACTTTAGCATTATTTACAAACGACATAAAAAGATAAGTTTTTTCGTTTAAGATCGTGTGTATCGACGTATTTAAGCATTGCAAGATACAATCAACCTTTCTTTTGCATATGATACAGTATAATCTAATCTAGTTTCCTTCATATCTTCTTAACACTCGTAAAAATATGCAGATTTTGTAATGCTTTGTACCATAATGCCACTACGGATAGTAAACACATCAATCATTTGTTCATTTATTCAGCACTGTTACGAAGAGATTAGTTCATATTATCATAATATTATGACACGGTACTCTGTCATAGAAAATAATTACTAG